AAGCAGGATATTCTTAATTCTTTTTTTAATTTTATTTTTGTTATGTTTTCTAAGTTGACTATCGATTCGATCGCATTTTGTGACAGTGATACTGATATAGTTGTAAAGATTATTGTTACATAACAAAGAGTATCACATTATTGCTGTTATCACTTGTTAAATATAAACAGTAAACAAACAGACTACAACTCCACCTCGATAAAGTATCATTGTTTGATATAATAAACATTTGCTAAGAGTTAGCATAATGGTTAGCACACGGTTTTAGTTTAAAACGATGCAAAATTAGTTTCCTTGTTAAGCCCTTATCTGGGTTAGGCATGCAGGCTATAAAAAACTGGCTCAACGCTTCAGTATCGAATACTCTTAAATAAGATGTGTTACGTCATTTTATAGTCTGGATTGCTGCTAAAATGTGTTTGTTACTCATTCCTTCTACTATCTTATAATAATATTTAGTTATTTTTCTTTTTTTTACTATATAATTCTATACAAAAATGTCTATTAGTTCAGCGCAACCTAACTCATCGTGTGACTATTTTTTTTATCTCTTCAATACAGAAATAGATTCAATTCATCAATTAATTTCATGGATAGAATAAAACTTAAGGTCGGTTTTTGTCATTTGCTATAATCACCGCTAAGCAGAACTTATCCTCAGTGTCGTTAGTCTATCTGAAAATATTAACAGAGCAAATTATTATTATTTTAAACAATTTTGTAATCTTCTGTATAATATTCTTGTATAAACGCTTTAAAACCTTGTAACAGTTCACCTTCAAGAGCTGCTCACTTCCGTGATGCAATTAAAGGACTTCCTTTATTTGATTCGTTATCGTTACAAAAAGAAAATAACTTTATTTGGTGGACAAAGCACAGTGATGGTGATGGCCACCATCCTGATGGCTTGCCAGAACTAGGAAAAAAGTTCATTAAATCTATTATATGAAGTTTATTTGGTTTCTTTATGTAATCTGTAATATATTAATGTCAAGTTGACAACACTGATTTTTTGAAGCGTATGCTTCAAAAAACCAAAAAGATCTGCACCTACATGCTTCAAAGATGTTTTTTATGTATTTCTGCAACCACAAGGCGAGAGCCAAGCGTGGCAGAGTAGAGCTATTATTTATGATATTATTTGATGACATCGGATGCAAATTATTGCTTCAATGCCGAAGAATAAAACGAAATTACAAAAGGAACATTGACATGATAAACAGTATGAATTGCCACACAAAACACACTATATCGGTATTCAGCACTTAGTATTACATATTATCGTTGTCGTGATAAGACAAACTAAGGTGTGTGCAAATACTAGGATAATAATGTTCGATGACATGCATATATAGATATTTTAGGTTAATGTATTTATGTCGAAGGATATATTCTAAGCCTTCAACATAAACATACACATAGCCTAAAACTAAATGTTTTGATAAATGTAATAGACATACATACAACATACAATAAGTTCAAACTTAACATTTACCGCTTAATAAAGATACAAATGTTACTTTTACAGAATAAAAGTAACATTTGTATCTTTATTAAGCGGCGGATAATAATCACTTGACCTACCCTTTTATTGTTTAACTACACTTGAGAATTTATTATTTCCAGTTCTGAATGCGATGTCAACCTTATATGGTTCGCAGTGTTACCTGCGTGTTTGCATTGCATTTACATTTTTGCGTCTTGTAACCCTGAAGTTCCAATACAACTGATTGAGATTCGTAGTTAGCTCTACTATCCATAAGTAGTTTCTTAAGTCATATGACACTTTCGCGGCTTTCGATCTGCGCGTGTGAACTTCGACCTCGCGAAATGAGTTCAATGTCGAGCCCAAGGTCTGCACAGGGAACAGGTAGTGATACTGAAGCGTTTCTAACGGGCAACCTGCCAGATTCCATGTCAAACACAAATCGACACTATTTTATACGTAGAACGGTAGAATTTTCCTTGCATGTAGAGACACGACCGTGTTTTTGTTATTGGTGATCTAGATTCGGAGTATTGTCAACTACTCGTTATGCATACAGCAGAAGTGTGACGCTTGCATTATTGGGATGTAGGACAGACTGAATACATACTAACCAAATAATTCAGTGTGTTTTTAGTTATGTATAAATTACTAAATACTCATAATAAATTACTTTTTCATTATCTCGGAAGAATAGTTTTAATCAACGTAAACGATACGTTTTCATGCAAACTTTAATCTGATCTATTCGATTATAATGCATACGAATTGAGCCACTTTAACTATATCTTAAAAATCAAATTAAAATGAAGAATAAAAAGCATAAACGATCGGTCCTCGGTCTTCGACAAAAGTTGAATTACGATTTTTGGAGTTGACACTGCGCAGCATTTTCTCAGATTTCCTATATTGTTCTATTACTTACTACAATATCATTATCGTTTTATATAGTGTTACAGTTAAATTTGTTATAAACGGTAGCCGGTTATTTGCGACCAGAAAAGTATCAGTAGGTACACTAGGTACTCTTATAATTACTGTAACGTTGTGTCACTAAATGAGGAAGGAACAAATGTGGGTCGTGGAGCTTTCCATTCAACCTAAAGATATCATAACTATTTTTGAGTATTATTTTGATACCGCAAATAAAATAAAATTTGTCTATTAAAATACGGTCAACCAAAAAAAATTGAAGTATTTTTATAAACTATTTAGAAACTATTTTTATATGAAATATTTATTTCATTTCATAAGTTGATACAAAAAAGTATTTAGAATAATTATAGCAGTTCTTAATTCTAATAGGAGGCTGCAATGTTTCAAATGAAAGAAATATTTGATCGTTTTGTAAATATTTATCGTTTTCGATAACTTATTGTATCTTTAAGTGTGAGGTTATTATAATTCCGAAAGCCCCAGGACCCATGTGTGTCTTAATTACTAGACTAGATAGCGTGACAGGGTTGAAGAAATCCAACTACATGTTCGACTCAGACAGTGGGCCGCCTTGCCTTAGAAATATGTATATATGTATAAATTTCTATGACAAGCCGGCCCACCGTCTGGCAATCAAATGCAAGATTCAGCTTTTGCAACAACTTGTTGCAGTTGCTCATAACAAAAGATAAATGTGCCACGACAGGTTTCTACTTTTAATGACGCTCTTTGGACGACCATAGTTTCACGGTATGCACATTCATTCCTGGTAAGCGCCTAGTAGGACTTGAAAATGACAAAATACTCGTTCCATCTTTGTTCTGTATTGTACTTTTTTCATCCATATCTTGTAACTTCGATCTTTACTGAGTATATATACATCATCATTTAAACAACAAAAAAATTGATATTCGTTTTTTTATTATGGGCCGCGTTGGTAAAATTAAAAGGATTGTCAACTAATTAAATGTAAAATTAAAGGTAAAAAGCGCTTTTTAATTTTATGTTACGGCTTGCTTAAATTAAAATATTAATAATAATATCATCCATCTCACACACCGCAGTCTGATCCCAAACTAGGCAGAGCCTGGACTATGGTAACCAGACTGCGAAAATGAAAACGTTTTATTACTCAAACACTCCGCTTTTGACCTTGTACTGGTAGCAGTTTAGGCCTAAGAAATCCCTTTCTCTTGTAGTTGAGAATTGAAAAACATTAGTCCAGGTCATGCGGACACCATCAAACGTTTTGAGGGTTGACGTTCGCTTGCTATATTCTGAGATGTTAATTTCCTTTGCTTTCGGTATAGTGTTGGCTTAGTTTGTACTATCTCTAATATCATAGTTCGTTTGGTTTGAAGAAGCTCGGTCACTTGTTATGTATTCTTTCTGAGACTAACAGTTTGAATTAAAAATAAAAATCTACATCTCTACATTGGCTATTATCGCTGTGTTTCCACCAAGTTATGAAACTAGGGATATTGCCTATAGTACTCTCATATTGAGTATATTGTAATAGAAAATAAATGCCGTGACGGGTACTTATATTTGCTTTTTTACCGGCCCGGATAAACCAATTAAAATTTAGAGGTACTCAAAACCTCCAAGCATGTATTGCTTGACAAAATGTCTAACATACTTTCTGATATATCTGCCTACTCTTAATCCAAAGTCCATCTCTAAATCGCCGATATAAACGTCTGTATGTAAGTCGTCGTTATCTCAGAAACTAGGCAGTCTGTGACTTTCCCTGTTTACGTTTATACTTAAAATATGTATAAACCCTATTTCTATACGACTTTAAAGAAATAGGTTAATGTGGTAGATTGCTTCAAATGTTATTTTGTGTATAAAGTATTCCAGAACATATAAAAAAGAACAATTTAGCTACGTCAACAACGTGAATCAACATCAAAATCAGGTTTTTGTTTTTGCTTTTCTTTAGTGGCAACATTACCTGAAATACGAAATTGATATTTAAAAAAAAACAAAAATTTACTTGTTTGCTTAAGTATTTTTTATTTTACAAAAAAAAAGATTAGAATGGTTACAAAGTGAGGTATTTTTATTTATATTTTTATATAGATATATAGGAGATTATCTAAAATTATACGAACTTGACCATTCAAGTCTGACGTTTGATCATGACAATGCAATGTCTTTGTCAATACGACTCACACATATACATAAACAGAAAAAAAACTATCAAGAATAAGTTCGTACAAGTTTAAAACGTTTAGATATAGATTTATTATTTTGTTTTTAAGATTCTTTTTTATATATATAGATGAAGTCTGAAAGTGGCTTAGTGCCAGATGTTATACCAGTACACTGTTTACTACGATGAAGATAAGCCGTAGTTAAGCTTCAAAAATGTAAAAAAACGTTAGAAAGTTTAGAAACTTAGCGTTAAGAGACTTAAGTCTAGTGAATATTACTTATAATGTTGTAAATCTAGGAAATACGAGGTTTCATTAAAAAAATGGAAATATACAATTATTTAAAGTTTGCAATGCAATTCTGACCTATATTTAGCATAAGTGATAGTGACAATGTGTGATAAGGAAGTGGTCGGCAGGTTCACGTTGCCAGCTCGGGCTGATGCTATTGTGGAGCTATGGAGAACGAAGATGGAGGAGGGCGTACTGTCCCCGGCACACTTTCTAGACCATTGGAGGGTGACCGTACCACGGATATATTCACCACAGCCGAACAGGACCTGCTTAGGTAAGCGAGACTACTTTTTAAGATTACTTAGCAGATTTCGGATTTATTGGGCTGATACCATGCTAACATTAAGCAGGCATCTAACGATACATAATGTGTGCTTCAATAATTATAACAAAAACCTAGCCTCATAAGGTCAAGCTTTTTTGTAATGATTAAGGCTGATAAATACTTTACCGACTACTTTGGTTTATCTGCTCTTATCTGCCGTAGAATCAATATTATTAGTAAAGGTTTATAAATAGATCAAGTCTTGACCTTCTTCTTATCTATACAGGAATAAGAACCATGTTTAACTTATCTTACATAAAAAGCTTGAATCCTCGTAAAGAATTTTCCGGTTACAACTAAACGAAGTTATGGTGAGAAAAATGAAGCCAAATTATGTTGCCAGTATTTCTGTTTCAATTCCAGTGTGTAGCTACTGTTTTAATATTTAGGCGTGTTTATTTAATTTCCCGATAGTTTTTATTAATCAAGCATATTTAATTTTTGGATTAAAAGAAATTGTGAGAGTACCAACTAGTTGAGGTTCACCCCCTGTCCTTAAACGAGTAGCAATTCAAGCCAGACCTGTTCTACTGGTGACTGATTTTATTGTCGTTTACGTCGTCTACCAAAAGGACTGGCCTTTAAAATGTAAAAGTTTATTGTTCAAAATGATCGACCTTTTAAAGTAACATACAGACGTCAATGTTATACGTAACTATGAACCATAAGAGGAAAGTGAAATATGTACATGTGTAACTTAGTAATAAGTGCAGAAATACGTGTCACTGTTTGTTCAGTTCACACTATTCAATTAACTCTAAGGGAAAGACTGCCCGTAGTCAACAATCAGTTTATTAAATGACCCGATACTGTTTTAAAGCGTATGCAAAGCTACTCTTTTAGAATCAATTTAACGGACATTAGTCATTTACTTCATGAATGTGTTATTCATGAAGTAAATGTAGCCACAAAATATGGCAATTTATTATATAATTTTATGTGGGGTCGATTAATAAGGTCAGCCTCCGATGAGATGGACTGGTTTATGTTACAATCATCTGAATTAATTTTAATATATGTTTCTAGCCTCGCGCCACTCGCGCATCTTCCTCTGCATCTCTCAAAAGGTGTAAATAGTCCCCGTTTTAGCAACATTTTTCATTGATGCTCGGCTCCTATTGGCGGCAGCGTGATATTATAAAGCCTAAACTAAAATAATTTTTCAATTCGAACCTGTTTCCTTCGAATTACAGTACCTGACATTAGCGCGTTCAACAAAATCTTCAGCTTCAAAATATTAGTATAGATTAAACAGTTCGGTGTCCACTTTAGCGGGCATCAAAAGACACTACAATGTCGTACTCTATGCCATAATTTAAATTAGTCTATAAAATCATTTGCGTATTTAAAGTAACGCACATTGTATATATATTATGGTACTCATTTGGTTACCCACACCGTATACTTGTTAATTATTTTATTAATATTATGTCGTAGTACCTACATATTCTACATAATTTAGTGTAAAATATTAAAGAGAGCGTGATAGTGAGTCGCTCAATAGAATCGACTAAAAATAGATGGGTGGTTCATGTGGATGGATAGCAGCTAATTATTTGGCGATGTATGGTTTCAGAACGCGAATAGTAAGCTTGTCTGAATTATGATCCCTTATTACACATACACTAGTGCTTCTTTCCCAAATTTTTGTCATACCATAGCGTGGCTTAGGATTGTGCGGTTCTTGATTATATATCAATCGAGGAAAAGTCAATTATATCAAGCAAAGCAAAAGTCTATTGTATCACTGAAATTGTTGATTTTTTTTTTTCACACCATAAAATGAGGCTAATGGATTTTGCATATAAATTATGTTAAAGCAGGAATGAAATGCGAACATTTCTGTGGAAACCATAATGTGTATTACATTATGCACACTAAAATACTAGTTACTACGAAATATAATTTCTAAATAAATATTAATTATTATCTAAATATTATTCATTATAATTTAATAGCTAAGCATTGCTCTATCGCGTCACATCACGTCTGCGATTATGTAAAGTTCTCCGGTAATGACGTGAAAAATTACTGCACCATCTGTATTAAATATGGATATTAATGCAAAAAGCACTGTAGTTACGAGTACAGGAAATCCGCATCTATTTAAAAGAGTATCAGCACATGTCGATTATTAATAACATGTTTCCGAGTAAAATAGAAATCACTTATAAAGCAAAATAGACTCATAGAGACATCTTTGCAACTAACTCATTTTATTTATATGCAATTGTAAACTTTTACTACTACTTTCTTGATTTGACTTTAAAAATTTACACCTATAGTTTATGCAAAAATTAACTATATTTTTACTATCTTAAAATAGTAAACGGTTAATATTAAAGCACTATTTTATAACTAACTAGCATTTGCCCACGGCACGCCCGCGTGTATGTCGGTTATCGCGATAAAAGTAGCCTATGTTCTTCCCAAACTAACTCCTTACCAAATTTCATTTAAATTGGTTCAGCGGTTTAAGCGTGAAGAAGTAACAGACAGACAAACACACTTTCGCATTTATAATATTAGTATGGATGAATTGTACAAAAATTTTTGTACCTGTACTCCGGGAACCTAAGTAAAAGAAACAATTCTGCTACTCCATATTTTCCCATATTGTGCTCTCATAGTATGGGATTATATTTATAAAATTTTGACTGTCTATGTAAATTGGGGAGGACACTGGCTCCTGCAACACAGTATCTACTAGTGTAGGAGCCAGAGAATTCTGAAATTAATGTAAGCTTATTGTTATTGTCAATAAATTATTATTATTAAATTATTATTATTATTATATAAGATTTAAGTTGTTGGATTGTTCCAAATCCAACAAATTAAATCTTAGATATTATTGGATTTAATTGGCCACTATTATGTTAAATTAATCGTTAAAACGCTCGTACAATTTATTGATTCTAGAATCATACGATTCTAGAATCAATAAATTTTTGTACGTATTTAAAAAATGACAATTTTTAGCGACTTCACTTCTGACGACAGAAAGTCAGAAACAACTATTTTGTTATCCTAATGAAAATTTATGTTCGTTAAATTGTTAAATATTATATGGTTTAACCTGTTTTATAAATTTTAATATAAAAGTTAAAGTATGAATGTGTGCAAACCTGGGCACTTTCAATTGTTCCAAATCCAACAAATAGTATTATTGATCGAAGACCAAACATGTTATTTACTTTTTTCATTACCTACCCAAGCAGGTATCAAGGAGGATCAAAGTCCATGTCACATAGTTTGGCTGATACAAATAAATCGAACGTACAAAAAGAAACTAGTACTAACTAATGCGAGTTAATTTGAACACGTTTTTAACAATCATTTTAATATCGAATAGGGGTTTGTACTATAATACTTCTACAGTTTTGTAATTCATTCATTCAGTGGTATTATATATTTTTATACTAACTTTACCGAGCAATTTCCGTGATCACGTATATTTGATATTTTGTACTTGCGCTGTACCTATGCAGAGTGACTGGCTCAATAGTGACGACCTCCTTAGTCAGATCCATGGGGTAGAACTCTCACTTCACTTCGTCCAACCGCACTCTTTCGATAAATTTAATCAATTCCTGTTATCCATGTTATCCTCATATGCTAAGTGTCCCTTTTCTGTAAGAAAGCTGATGTGTCATGTAAATTAAATTCTCAACGTAACTATATTTAATTAATATTACTTATTTTTCAGACTGGTCGTTTGACGAAGAACTAGCAGCAAAACTTCTTATTCAGCCGCTAGAGCAATTTGTGTGGGGTAACAGCGATGGGTCACAACCCCCACTGCCCAGGCGGTCTACACTCTGCGGAAGGGTATTCAAGCAGGGTGACCCTGCTTACAGCTGCCGAGAATGCGGTAAGACACTTTTTATTACTCTGGGTTACGTACTGTTGTTTCTGGTCCGGATGTCTTAATAACAGCTGTTCCCGGATCCCTCCTATTTTAAGCGTAGAGTGGCACTCCGTGTGGCTTTAGTCCGTTCAATTCCAACACACCGCCCCGCATAGATTCCGTAAAAAAAAACGTAGTGTTGTTTCTGATTCCAATATTTAAAAAAGTGCCCGTACTGCTACCTTAGTATTACCTGCAGGGTGTTGTAAATTTTAAAGACTAAAAAATGTCACCGACTCTCCTCCACAGCAGACATTTTTTTTGTGCAAGCTTTATATTAAATTTGTTTTTAATGATTTGCATGATATGCAAAATATGAAGTAGGTATTTATTTAGATAGTTTGAAACCTTTATAAACAAATTTAATATCTATAAACCAGTTTTAATGCGGTCTTAAAAACCTTGGGTTGGGGTTAAATTTTATTATATACAGGCTGGTTTTGCTGTATTTGTAAATAATATTAATTAGGAATTGTTACGAAATCGTTAGTGTTCTAATTATATATTTTGGTTTGGGTCATTAGATGACGCCATTTTGTTTTTTGCTTTTTGCTGCGTTTTTAGTGTGTACTATTTGTTCGGAAGTTTTTTTTATGTCACTTTGATCTTAATAAGCATTTTCAGGTTCTAGTTGTCGAGCTATAAACATGTATTTTTTAATATTAAGCCAATTCCTTATTTCTATTTTTTTTTTATATGAGTATATTAAAAACTCTATTGTTTTTGTTTTTTACTGCCAGGCATGGACAATACATGCGTCTTATGCGTGGAGTGCTTCAAGGTGTCAGCTCACAGGCATCACAAATACAAGATGGGTCAGTCGAGCGGTGGAGGTTGCTGCGACTGTGGCGACACAGAAGCTTGGAAACGAGATCCTTTCTGCGAACTTCATGCTGTACGTAAAATAATCTACAAGCTCCCCATATAACTTTTGTACAAGATAGAATTCCATTTATTTTATTTCTAAGTTCCGCCAAAGAGATGATGAACGTTAATAATAAATCAGTTTTAGTTAAGAGATATTGACGATCGCCTGTCCCTATTAAGAAGGTCGGATATGCAATTTTCTTGATTTTGCTTTTATTTTACTATTGACCTAAAAAAGCAATATTTTTCAGCAGCTTTAACAAAAAGTAAATTTTTCCTCATAGTTTTTAAAATAGCTATGTTAACAAAGTAAATTTATGTATGTATATATATACAAAATTAAGCAATTTTAAACTTTGACGCGTCCTCCTGTAAGATTGCTGATTTGCAGATCCTACATTCTTAATAGGGATGGGCGTAAAAGCATCGCTGCGGCATTGTTTGTTTCATTTATGCATATTTGATAGTGCCTAAAGATATTTTCACAGGTCAAAAGTTTAGATACTATTATATGTATATATATATATTATTATATATATAAAATTATTTTATTCTCAGGCTTCAGAAGATGACAATCAAGCTGAAGCGAATATGAAACCAGAAGTGGTGGAGAGGATGAAAATCGTAGCTTCTGTTTGCCTGTCGTACTGTCTCCGGCTTCTGACACGCGACCATGCACCTGGCCTACCCAACGATCTCAGGTATATAAATATAATTACTTTCTTTTCATTTCATTTTAAAAAGACAACGCACTAGGAATATATCCTGTGTACGGGGGACTTTACAAGCATACATGAAAAGGACACAAAGAACTCTCAGACTCCGAACATGTGGACCACCCAAAGTGTCGTCCCAAGTGGGGATCTAACCCACAACACTCAGCGTAGTAGTAAGCGGCGTGGCGACCGCTTAAACCACTACGCTATCCGTGCAGTCAGATTACTGCTAACGATAACAAAAGAATCAGAGTTTATTTTACATCTACTCGATCGTCACGGTCGCCTGTTTCGGCGTTGCGATTGGTCCACACTGAACTCACTGAACCAATCTCAATGCTGAACGCAGTACCAAGTACGTCAGTGACAATACCTGATCATGAATAATATCCATAGTTCTAAGATACTTTCTTGGCAATAAACTATAAGTTAGTAATAGACCGATACTTATATGTATGTTCTTTAAGATTTATTCAAACATGAACAAAATCTTATTGTTTCAGACTAAAAGACGCAGAACGAGACCTATTACAGATATTGGATCAGCCCGATTGCTACTGCACTGTGTTGTACAATGATGAAACCCACACATTCGATCAGGTATAAAATATTGTATTTTGTATGAATAGCTTATTGTTTATAAAGTTTTTTCTGGTATAGTTATGTATAATAGTCATCAACAGCTTTTAGTAGTCCACTGCTGGACTTAGGCCTTTCCTTAGAAAGAAGGTTTTTGGCCTACTATACGACGCTGGCCAGACGGGTTGGTCTTTATAGAGTTTGTATCAAGTTTTTTTCCCATTGCAGTGATGTTGTCCCGCGTAGTTTTGCTTACGACACACGCGTAGTTACCGTAATAAAAAATAGATAAAATAGTTCTTGGATATTAATATTGTTGTTTTGGATAATTTTAGGTTATAACAACTCTAGTGAGGGTAACAAAATGCAATCAGCGAGATTCCTTAGAACTGGTGAGTCTCATCGACCGCGAAGGACGAGCCTTGGTTAAATGTAACTCTTTCCAAATTTGTGATAAACTCAAGACCGACATTGAAATGTAAGTTTTTTATTATTATAGAAAATAAAAATGATCATTTGGTTTTAGACCAAAAAAAAGTAACTCATTCATTATGTATTTTGAACCTATTGATGAATACACAAATTTATTTGATAGTAGTATAGACGGGCGCACTTAGAGTAAATTATTATAGATCTATTTATATTTCTTCTTATATTTTATTTTATTTGTTGTTGCACATCTATTAAAAAGGAAATAATAATAGACAGTTGTAAAGCGGCATTATTATAATAGTTTTATCTGGAGATCGAGAATAAGTTAGTGTAAACTCTTCTTATTAATGACCTGACTCCTGAAAGAAGTATAAAGGATCCTTCATATAGAAGTACATCCAAATCTTGAAAGAGCTTTGATATTTTTAAAGCTGTAAGCTAGTCTTCGTTCACTTGTAAATATGTGTAAAATCGCTCATTCTCTTGTATATATATATATATATATATTAATATGAATCCATACAAACAAGAAAGCTTTTTGCAACTAAATGTGAATGGGTATGTAAATGTAATTAGCAGTAAATTTATTAATTGCCGAGAAGTTGACTTACCATTCAATGAATTATATTTTGTACTGGACTTTAAAATAACCAAATCCCAACCACCAGAAGCAGTTCACATTTTTAAGTCGTTTTATGAATTGATTATGTATAGTTATAGAGTAGTAATTACAGTAGCACTTATGTGTGGCTTTCCTTGTTTCATTTTTAGCGTCATGTTAACGTCAGCTATCGACAAATATCTAATACAAACGCTTTTATTTCTCACGCAACTAACAACGCGTAACGGTGGCATATTTAACATTAATGAGTAAGTGATTTTATACATATTTGCACGTGTCGCTTCAACATTTATAATGAAACTTATCTGTTCTTTATGGAATGCACACGACTCATAACTGTCGAAGAAAAATCAAATGTACGATTGTAAAAATATAAACAATTGTTACTAGAATATCTAATAATATAGTCTATTTTTGTGTCCACCAAATAGAAGGCACGCATAGGTGTTATATATTATGCTTTTTTCTAATACAATCTTTCTTTATTTATTATATTTCCTAATATCTAATAGTCTGAACGTCTTTACTATGAGTAAGTTCAATTTTTAAATTTAATTTTATTGAGTATGTTGTAACGCAGACACTTCTTTTTCTCTGTTGAAATCAAACTCTTCAGCAACATCTCATACTAAAGATTGTCATAATATCTTTTTAATACCTAATAATGAGCACGTCTTTACTACTGTACTATCAGTATGTATTTTCCTCAAGGCTTACTATAATCATATGTATATAAAATATCATACCTATCCAATACAGCAATTTAAGATTGCAGTAAAAGGGAAAACAATTAAATCCTTTATAACATAACATTTACATCTCTCACTACAAATGCTTGCCTAAAGGACGGTTTATATGTCCTAAATAATAATTGTTTAATAAGCCCGATACGTACATCCCTAAACGTATATAAAGCGTTGTAAACACGTGCCCGTTAAACGGTGTCTGTGTGGGGTGACGTATGATGTTGGCTCAGCTGCACGGCGATGTTCGAAAGGTTCACTTCGCGCCACGGGCCCAGTCTCAAGGTGCTCGTCATGCACGCGCACGTCATCGCCCACCAGACCTTCGCGATGAAGATGCTGCACTGGTGAGTCCTACATTTTTGTTAATGCTGTTTAGTCGTATATAATAAACAAAGAAAACATTAATCATTTCTACAGAATTTGCTGTCACTCGTCGATGCTGCTGCGATATTCTTATATCATTGATTTTTGAAGTGAAAACTTCTTTAGGCGCGTGGGCATTTTTAAACAACAAACAAAAGATTGTATTTTATTTAAAAAAACATTGGACACGCGACTAGTGTTAACGACACATCTGTTAAAGTGAAAACTTTTCTATGCACGTCGGGCATTTCTTGAAATGGGGAAAAAACAATTGAACTGTTACCATTACCGACACCTCTGTATATAAGTTTTCACTTCTGTCGGCACTTCCACTGTTTTTTAGGCATAGGAGGGGGGCAAACGACCAGGCGGGTCACCTGATGGTAAGTGACTACCGCCCATGGACATCTGCAACTGAAGAGTCCCAAGTGCGTTGTCCCACCTCCTAGAAGCAAGTAAAGAATTGCTTTACACTTGTTTTCTGTAATACTGTGGTATCACTCCGGTAGACCCTGCCCCACATTTGCCGAAGCTTGGCTCTCCCACGAAATGTGCTTGGTATATATGGATGATGACTTAACTTTCTAATCCAACATCTAGGGGAAAAAAAGTGAACATTTTAATATAAAACAGTAGTTTAAAAAAAAACTGCTATAATAAGATTTGGACTTTAAAATAATCAAATAAAAAGTAGAAGATTCATACGAAATCTGGACACGACAAAAGCTTTTTAATGGTAAAAAAATTGAAATATTACTACACGCAGGCTTATGTTTTTATGTTGAAGAGTGAAAGATACTAACTAATTTAATAATACATTTGGTTAGGCTGCAAAACTTCGTTAGCCAGGAGCCCAGTCTCCGTCTAGCAGTCAGTCAGGTAGCCCTTGGTGAAGACGCTTGGGGAGCGAACACTTCTGTGGCTGGTGGAGGAGGGGTCGCTTGCGGTGTGATGCAGAACGATTCACGAATGTGGAAAGCCGCCAGAACCGCTTGGCATCGGCTTCTGATTGCCACTACCCTAATGGACTATGCTACAAAAAGGAGCATGGCCATTTTGTTTACCAAAAACTACGGTATGTATTGTAATATATTGTTCTAGACAATTAAATATTAATGATTTAAAATTGTTGAAAGACTACTTGACAGACGCTGCTTTAGAAAACACAATGCAAAAAGAAATATAATGCATATAACAGATGCTCGGAATCCTTCTGACTCCCAGAAATGGCGAAAACTCTCACAAACTTTATCACAATATATTAAAATATATTTTTATTAGACTGCACGATGTCGTAGTGGTCACCTCGCCGCTTCCTACAGCGCTGAGTGTTGAGGGTTCGATCCGCACTTGAGACAACACTTTGTGTTATTCACAAATTGTTGTTCTGAGTTTGGGTGTTTCTTATGTCCGTTTCATGTATGTCTGCACAGGATATATTCCTAGTTAGTCTAGGGTAGGAAATCATAATTATTAACACCCAGTTTGGCCAGGTTTTGGAAACAGGCCTTTTTTTAACACGCAAGCCATCCATTAAGTATTTTACATTATACCCAGGTTCCATACTCAAGGACTTCATACGTGACGATCACGACCACTCGTTCTCAATATCATCGCTGTCGGTCCAGCTGTACACCACGCCGACGTTGGCGCACCATCTTATAGCAAAGCACGACGCTCTGTTCGTAGTGCTGAACACTTTTGTCAGCGAGTGTAATCGACGATGCAATAATGTGAGTACTCTCGATAAATATCACACCTTTTTGTATCCGGTTCCTTATCTCCCGTGTTAATTAAGTGTAATGTTAAAAATTAATTTGTTTAAATTATTTGATTATTATTATATAAAATTTAGAATATACAGTTTACGTTATCTGTTTCCATGACATTAGTGATATAGCCAGTGGTCATACTATTTTTTATATTTGTAACGTTTGTCGTCCATTTCTGGTTTTCTTATAACCCTTAAAACCTTTCACAGGGACGCCTGGAGTTTGACCGCAATCATGTTCCCATGGCGTTCAAACGCGCTCAATTCATTTTGTACGACATCAAGTACCTGCTCGGTTCAGTGCCGCCCACGTTTGACGATGAGCTCCGGAAGGGCTTCATGCACGGCATGTCGTTAATGCTCAACTTGCTCGTCATGATGCAGGGAATGGACTCTGTCGTGAGACAGGTAATTGCTTTGTATTTTCATAGATAAAAAAAATCTTAGCTTTACTAAAAGTTATCGCTCATCAAAGTAACGTCTATCAATGTCAATCAACTCGCAAAAGATACAATAAATAAATAATACCTATTCCACTAATTGCAAATTGATTTTGTGGAATTTATGATAAAAGACTTTTTAAACATACATCTCAGTAGCCAGCACAACCATTTTGGTATTTGAAGGTGTTTTTAACATTCTCATAAATAATTGTGAAACTAAAGGAAAAGTAGCACGTAGCAACAGCTACCTTGCCTTTAGTTTTAGTAGATACCATTTTAGTTTAAGTAGATACAGATAGTATTACAGCAGTTCGCACATACAACCAAAATAACTAAACGAATATAAAAAATGCACTATAAAAATAAGTTTCATAATAGTACCTACTATTTACAATAACATTAAACGAATACTCAGATTGGCCAGCATATGGAATATGAACCTGAATGGGAGTCAGCGTTCAACCTACACGTGAAATTAGCACACAGTATCACGCTATCGCTGGAGTGGTGCGCGGCAGAGAAATCGCTAGCAGCTGCCGTTTACCGCATGGCGCTAAGAAAACACAGCGAGAATTATACACCACCACCTAAAGTCGTTCGAGGTAAAGAATTATAATTACTTTGACAGATAATTAACATTCGTACTAGTGAATTACTTCCCTCGAAATTGAAATTTAAGACTTATTGCATTATATATGTATAAAAATGTTAAGTTGGTTCAAATTTTGACACGACATACAACCCCCTTCAAAAAGTGCTTTTATCTTTTTTTTGCGTCAGTTGTTCCTCATTTCTCATCAGTGTAATCGATTGCGGATGCCACAGCGAAATATGGTAGAGTACAGCTATTACTTACTACACATTATGAATAAACCATTTTTACGCATACGCACAGACCGAGATTTTGCTAAAAATATTCGCAATTATTAGAAGCTCAATTGAGATCTGGCTTAAACGAACATTAACTTCATTATTTTTTTCAGAGAATGTTTGTGTTTGTGTGTTTATAGACGATTTCTCTAATTTTGTATATTTCAACATAAAAGTAAAAATGAAACAAAACACTTAAAAGTATTTTGTTTCGAACCTTCTAGAACATTATAATAGTAAAAAGTATTCACAAAGTAGTCACCATCATCATCTTTTTTTTTAAACCGTGAAAAGAGATGGGCGAGCAGAGCGCGTCCGTGATCCCATACGACGTGTCGAGCGAGCCCGTGTCCATCCACCGGCCGCTGTCGCGCTACATCGCCGGCCTGCACCTGCTGCTGCACCAGCACGGCCTGTCCTACCACTCGCGCGAGTTCGACCGCCAGGACAAGCCCAAGCCTACGCCTGAGGAACTTATCGGTAAGAAAACCTTCTTGGATTACATTTGATAGATGCGTCACTGTTTTCTTAACGCAAACGGTCTATAGTTTGATCTTCGTCATATCTATGGGTATATTTTAACTATTTCTTAGTCTCATTAGGATTTCAGGGTTATAAAAGTACTAGCTTTTACCCGAAGAAATTAGAAATGAAACTATATTAAATATATATATAAATAGATTAAAACAATTACTACTACAAAAATACTATTACAGCATCAATGAATACCTGAGTGGAGAAAAACGACTGTAGTTGAAAAAAAATCGCAATCAATAAATTAAGCATGCACATAAAAAACTGAAGTATAATTATTATTGTTAGTTTGTATTATCTATCCCTCTCTCATCTATTGGTGTGCCCGACAGGGTCCATGGTGATCTGTTCTTATATTTAAGTTACCATCTAAGTAAACATTGTGGAATGCAATAAATATATTGAGTATTGAATATTCAAATGTACAAGCAACCCTCGCACCCTGTCCAATTACGATAATTTCTTAGAACCTGATGTCAGGGTGCGAGTCTTGGTTGAGACATCACTGTTTTCCTAACGCGAATGGACTATAAGAGCTTTGCTCAAATTTGTTATAATTTCATTGCCCACAGAACCTGTGCTCCAGACCATGGCGATGATAGGACAAGTTCACGCAGGCATGTGGCGCCGCAATGGGTTCGCGCTCATCAACCAGCTCTACTTCTACCAAAATGTCAAATGCCGCGCTGAGATGTTGGACAGAGATGTTGTCATGTTACAGGTATGTCACTTTATTCAGGTATCCTTCGGGTACAGTACTCGTTTTATGTATGAGAGTCATCTACCCTATATCCTTTTCTGATTATATTATGATCTTTCGAGTAGTTTTGCAATGACCGACCAAAGAAACAAACTTGCATTCCCATTTATAAAATATCTAGTTTAGAGTAATGCAAGAAATTTATCTAAGTACAAATTCAATAATATCTTTTGTTTCGGTAACGTTGATTAATATAATATGTGTATGTATTTTTAGCATTACTACTTGTATCACTCTTGTAGCAAAGATTTATTAATTATTTTGACAAAGAAAACCAAAGATACCATACATCTTGCGTCGATAATGTTGAAGTCACGTTCAGTAATAATTGATGCATGAGTACTTAAAACTTCCTTCAGGTCGGCGCATCTCTTCTCGAAAGCAACGAGTTCATAATTCACGTACTAAACAAGTTCAACCTACTGGAGTGGACGTCTTCGAATTTCGAACGGCACAGCATAGAAGATGACACTCTGAGACACACCATCAGTATGGTCGAGGAGTTCTTGGGACTACTGATTACAAGTAAGCTTCTTAAAATGAATTTTCAGATTTGTTTCTTGTTCACAGTTGCTTTTAGCAGTATGAAAACACAAAACTAATAGCTTAATCACTAATGCAAAAATTTGTATTGGTACCAACTGGATTTATTTATTTGTTAAAATAAAATATTATGTATCCAAATTGTATGAATCTGAGGTACCTTTTCTATACATAGTTCGGAATTTTAACTCTTATACACGCTAAATATCAAACTCGATGTTTTATATGGTCATTAATAGTGGGAGATGCATTGCAAAAATTATGCGAATAAAACTAAAAAACATGAGCTGTCGCGGTATGTTATCGATAATATTTTATAGAAATAATGAGTATAAAAGGTAAGGTTATGAAAGGAAATAATAAATATAGCACAATGAAAAATAAAATATTCAGAATGGCATCACTTCGCATTACATGTTACATAAATACTATCACATAGCAAGTCGACGAATAGCGTGGCGCTGCGACAATAGACGGTATGACCCTCCGCATTAGATGTTTCACATCAAAACTATAAAGATACAGTATATATATATTTTTTTTTTTTGATAAATGGAAATGAAAACACAAAGAATCCTATTGTAATCCGTTCAGTAGTTATTAGAACAAGTCTGTACTTGTCTCAGTATCCATCCTGATATCAGATTGCGTTCTGTAAAACTTGATTTCTTGATAAGGATTAACCAAAAAATATTTTATCATTGTTTCCAGTTGTCGGTTCCCGATATGTGCCAGGAGTTGGAGAAGTAACCAATGAAGACAGAACAAAGAAGGAGATCATACAGATGCTCTGTTACAAACCGATGCCACACTCTGAACTTAATAGGTAATATACAAATGTCATATACTTTATTATCAGGACGTCAACATAATAACCTCTGAAGGAAAAATTTAAAAAAATCCAAATCAGTTCACAAATGGAATAAGGGACATGGAACTGAGTTCTGACCTAATAAACATGAAAATGCAGCCGAGTTAAGCACCTCCTTTGAAGTCGGATTAAAAGTGTTTTTCTTACTGTAACAGTATGATCTGAATAAATGTCTGATGGTATGTCTAACTATGGTATGAATAAATGACGGTATGTCGTTACTAAAAGTATTTTTTACTGAATGTAGTTATTTTATGTGAAAAAAAATGTAATAAAAGTATAGTGCACCTTATCATTCATTTCATCACACCACGCTCAGGTAGACTAGTAGAGAATACCAATGGTATTAAGTCCAAGATTGTATTTTTTGTGCATAATATAAATAAATATATTTACAGATCACTCCCAGAAGATCAACTCCATGAGACAGGACTAGAAGCAGTAATCCACGAAGTGGCCGACTTCATTAAGCCTACGGGCGGGAACAACCGCGGCGTTTACAAACTCAAACCACATCTTTATGACGAATACGACACTTTCTTCTACCACTACACCAGAGAGGAGCTGTCCAGGAGTGAGGAGGAACAGAGGACTAGGAGGAAGAATGCTGGTTAGAATTAAAATTGAATTTATTAATAAAATATATGAAGTATAGGATGTAGGTTGTGTCTCTTTCTCTGCCATAGATTTTTAAGACAACTTTCCTTCTAGAATTTTATGTGCATATAGTAAACTAGCTTCTGCCCGTGGCTCGTGGTTATTGATTCCCCGTAAAAACTTCCACCACCCTTTTCAGCCCATTATAAGATGATTTCATTAATAAAAAGTAACCTATGTCCTTTCCTGGGATTCGGACGAGCTCTGTACTAAATATCATCTAAATCGGTTCAGCAGCTTAAGCATGACTTTTCACGATTAAACCGTTGAACCGATTTAGATGATATTTAGTATGAAGATACTTTGATTCTTAAGGAAAGACATAGGCTACCTTTACTACTTCCAGACAGACACACTTTCGAATTTATAATATTAGTATGGATTGACTGCACGGATGGTGTAGTGGTTTAAGCGGTTGCGGTTTCATGGGTTCGATCCCCCACATGGGACAACACTTTGTGTGATACACAAAGTTCAGAGTTTGGGTGTTCTTTGTGTCCGTTTCATGTATGTTTGTAAACACAGCAAAGTGCGGGACTCGACTTAAAACAAAAAAAAAATTATTAGATTTAAGGTTACATGCGGTACTCGGTTTATTCTCTGTTTTTAAATTATTTTATTGTTTATAGTTCATAAGTTCTTGGCACATGCCTAAGTTGCAAAATACACAACATGCTTTATGCATATCGTTTTCTTAATATACGAACATTCATACATTGCATCATATCCGAGTGTATCGAACGCCCATATTTTGGCGAATATTTTTTTAGTCTCAGTCGGTTAACAAAAGAGTGGTTTACGAGTGCGGTGTGTTGGTGTCAGGGCTGGCGGAGTGCTGCCCGCCGCCGCCGCTGCCCCGGCTGGCGCCGCCGTTCCGCCTGCTCGCCAACCTGCTGCAGAGCGACGCGGCGCAGCACGTACTGCGCGTCGTGCTGAGCCGCGCGCTCGACCTGCGCGCGCGCTCCTTCTCCGAGACGCAAGTGCACAAGGTACCGCTCCGCCTCACTGTGCTATACCCTTTTTTTTTTTTTCGTGCGGAAATCCCCTCGGATACCACCTATCGGTGGCATGTCGGACTCGAACAGACTAAAACCGCACGCCGTCTCTGATACTAATAGCCGGGGAACCAGGTATACCCTAGAAATTAAGTCCCCGGTGCACTGTGCTACACCCTATGGTCAAACTCGAAACGAAACGTTCCTCGTGAACTTGTATAAAATTATTAGTCATCTGGCAAAATCTAAATTAACAATATTTACTTCCTGAGAACTGAGTGTTTGCCGCTAAATTAATAAACTTACCTAATATGGTAAATGAGGTTATACAAGCTTCTTTTAATCGACGTCTTTCAATTTGAATATACTGACTGCACGGATGGCGTAGGGTTTTAAGCGATCGCCACGCCGCTTCCTATTACGCTGAGTGATGTGGGTTCGATCCCCACATTGGACGACACTTTGTGTGACCCACAAATATAGTTCTGAGTCTAGGTCTTCTTTGTGTCCATTTCATGTATGTTTGTAAAGTCACAGGACACAGGATATATTCCTAGTGCGAGAGTTGTCTTTAAAAAAAAAAGAAAATACACATACAGTACATATACTCACAGTTTTCGCCTATTGAGGTAATTAAAGACGACTGCTAGACACCTGCTGCTCATAATACTACATTTGATCATAATATATTACATTCATACATAATATATTTACATTCGTTTAAAACAAATCTTGTATAGTAAAAAGCAAGTATGCCCTTTTAAAATATATCGTGGCACATATACTGTTTTAGGCTCTACATTTGATGGGCTACGCACTCCGTGATGAGGAGAGCGGCCACTACGAGTTTCTAGCTTTCGCAGAGAGTGCGGCCCGCGGTGGTCTTATGGGGCTGCTGCAGAAGCTCACTACCAGCCCCAGGGTCGACGCACATCGACAACTTGCCAAATGGGTTCTCGCCAAAATGAAGTGAGTCTCAATTCAATTCAATTCAATTTATTTGCGATAATATGGGTTATACAAAAAGAAAAAAACAGGTGGAAAAGATACAGCTAGTTTCACCATATTAAGCCGAATGTCACAGCATGCAAAAATTAACAATAATTATTGATTATAACAAAATAATATCCATTACTGTCATTTTCTAAATAATAATACAGTTCTTAAGTTAAATAATACATAATAAACAAATAATAATAAATACAAACTATAATATGTCAAATTAATACGTCAAAATTTCTGTACTGATGTATGTCAAAGGAAGATGTAAGTAGTGCATTATTTACATCATTCTACATTCTACATATTATCTTCCATGTATTCTTTTACCGAATAATAAGTTTTACCAACTAGAATAGCATGTAACTTTTTCTTAAATAAAATTAAGTTCTTTTCATTTTTCAAATCTGATGGTATCTTATTATATATTTTTGGGCCCATGCAGAATATACTTTTATGAAGTAGTGCAGTTTTAGATGGTCTAATGCATAATTTGTTAATATGACGTTGCCTTGTACGGTGTTCAAATAAATGTAAATTACACTTAATAAATATAGCTGTTTCGTATACATATAAACAAGGTAAAGTTAGAATATTTAGCTTTCTAAATAAAGGTTTACATGAATCTGTTTGCTTAAGACAGGAAATAGCTCTAATACACCGTTTTTGTGCTCTGAACACACAGTCCGCATTGGTGGAGTTACCCCACAGTATAACACCGTAGCGAAGAGTAGACGATACATATCCGTGGTACGATGTTAAGGCAGTATAAATGTCGACAACTTTAATGAGGTTTCTTAAAGCAAACGAATAACTATTTAATATCTCGGCACATACATATAATTATGAACCACATAATATTTTTCAACATCACCGGAAGGTTGATTGGCAGAGAATGCCCTGGGCATTAAGTCTGCCTGTGTACAACCTATGCTTTAAGTTATTATCAATAAATAAAAAATGTACATTAATATTCCAGATCCCTTCTTGGACAAAACGATGAACATTTGGGCGATGGTGAAAGCATGGAGACAGATTCGGAGGAGAAGCCCAGCTCAGATGCAGCAGCTGGTTAGAATATTTGAATTTAGTTTAATTTTTGTGAAGAAATTATGCTAAATAATCTATATTTTTAATATGAGTTCCATACTGTTTTTTGGCATAAACAAGTTATGTTAGGTTATTGGATTTCTTATGTTTAAAATTGTTAATAATTTACTAGAAGCAGAGAAATCGCGGCGAGCTAAGCTAGCGGCAGAACGTCGAGCAAAATTAATGGCACAGATGCAGACTCAGATGAATAACTTCATATCCAATAATGCAACACTCTTTGAGGAAACGACTACTGAGGTAGGTAAAGCCTCTCAGAGGCACAGACACTGAGTAGAACTAGTATGAGTAGTACTAGAATTAAAATGATAAAACTTAAGGCTATAAATGTCTCATGTCAAAAAATTGTGGTGTACAGGTAACAGCAGAGGAACAAGAGCTTCGTCCGTTGTACTGCGGCTCGGCGCTCGGAGTTTGGGGCGGCGGGGTCCCGGAGCCGACACGCGTTTGCATCTTGTGTCAGGAGGAAGTAAGTACTCGTCGTGATGTAGATCGTGTTCCAGTTTCCATAGTATAACGTATATCCTGCAATAATCATAATATAGACTGACAGAGACAAGTAAATAAATACAATTTTAACTTTATAATATATGAATATATAACTAACGATAGTGCATTTTTCAGGGGCGCGTGGATGGGAAAACCGAGCCCATGGTGCTGGTGGCGTTCGTGCAGCAGTCGTCGGTGCTGAACCGGCTGCGGCGCGGCGGCTGCGGCCGCATCCCCGAGGCGTGGCGCGCGTCCTGGCTGCCGGCCGGCCTCGGCCTCCAGCCGCACGTGTCCAGCTGCGGACACGCGCTGCACGCCGCCTGCTGGCGGAACTACGTCGACAACGTGCAGGACAAGGAGAACAGGAGGTCACTGCGCCACTTGCCTTACTACTTCGATCATTTTTAGTGATTCAAGTGATAAAGATTAAATCTATATGGCATAAAAGAAAACCATTCAAAGTTCCTCCGATCGTTTTATCTAACCGATTTTCTAAAACTCATTTTTCATCAAGTATTAAAAATCACCTAAATTCCTTCTCGAGTCATTCTCTAATATCATTTTCGCTAGCTTTCTTTCTCTATATTACCAGATTTCACCTTTTTTATTTTTTTTCTGTGCGAAAATCCCCTCGGATACCACCCACCGGTGGCAATGTCGAACTCGAACCGGCCAAAAACCGCACACCGTCTCGGTTACCGGTAGCCAAGGAACCAGGTGTACCCTAGAAAGTAAATTTCTGATACCCCGACGTACCTCGGGCAGTCTACGGCGTTTAGATCCTGTGTGGGTGCCCCCATGTTCCCTTTATGCTCCCGAAAAGGCGCTCGCGTGCCGCAGCGCGTCACACCGCCACGGTGGTCTCACCTGTCACCTGTCAGGCGTGTCCAGATTTTACCTAAAAATAAGAAATAAATAAAAAAGATTCGAAAAACTTTCACCGAAACGAGCTCTATAGTTTAAGCGAAAGCTTAACTTAACCTTCAATCGATTGAATTGAAAAGGACACCCCTTAATAAAATACCTTGTGAAATTGTGTTATATTAATGTCAATTTCAATAACGGAAGTTTTATAAAAAAAAACAACTAGGTGCATACTAACTGGACTGGAAGACTGGATGACGTAGTGATTTGTGTAACGGACTGCTATTCCAAAGTCAAACATTTGTGTGCATGAACATTTAATGTTTGATTTGGTCTGGATGTTTCTATGTATAATAAGTATGTATTTACAAAAAAGTATTTATATCAGTTGTCTAATAGTCATAGTACAAGCTCTGCTTAGTTTGAGACTAGATGGCGCTTTGTGAATGTGGTAGAATATTATATTTAAAAAAAAACTCACACACTTTTCAGGCCTTACCGGGGCAGACAACCAGCTGCCTTCGACGTGGAAAAAAAAGAATATCTGTGCCCTCTTTGCGAACGGCTATGCAACACGGCTCTCCCGTTACTGTCCGCACCATCTCTTCCTGTGGGCGCACCACCCCTACTGTCTGAAGAAATGTATAACGAATCAGTCAATATGATTTTGAAACTGAAGCACCAAGTTAGCTCTGAAGCTATTCACATATGTACCGAGTTCTGCGAAGAAATGCACTGCCAGGCCAGGGCTCGCAGCGTGGGCGCCATGTCCTCGGACATGGAAGATGGAGAGTCGGCTGATGAATCAGAGGTGTACGTGTCGACACATGCCGAAAACCTACTGTCTGGAGAATTCTTAGCGCACTTTGAAGGGGAGATTCCGGCGTATCATGAAATGACTAAAACGTTGATTGAAGATTTTGCTAATGTAAGTGTTACTATTAAAATAACCTTATAGATAACCTATTGTTGCGTGTTTCTAACTTTTGAAAATGACGAACTTCCATATAACCATTCATCCCTTTGGGGGTAACATTGCCGAAAATTCTTTATTACTCGGTGCTTGTTGTAAGCACCCACTAAGAATGAATTTTCAGATGCATTAGCTGAAAAAAAATCCAGTTTGTAGCCCCAGCTGTTTAGGCTATGTGTTGATGAATCAAGTCTGTCAGGGCAAGTAATTTTATATGTATTAGACCATAGTTAGACTTCAATCATGTAAGTCATTTGACAGAATCAATCAACTAGCCGGGTCGGTAACAACACAGAGCGAGGCATTTGCCGCTCGAAGCAGCTCGACCTGTGTAGATGAGGCACCGAGGCTCGGTTATTTGTTTTGCCGAACTAAACATAAGTTTAGTATCTAGTTGGCGTCTATATGGTGGAAGCACTTAACCTGCGGAGATTTATCCCTATTCAACTTACCGTGCTAATTATGTAGACAACTTGGGATTGTCACAACACTAAAACTTGCCTTTTTCTTTTCAGATTCTTCCAATCACCGAGTATGGTGGTATGGTGTCTAGCGCTGCTCTTTACAGAGCCACCTCATACACAGTAATTAGTACAAACGCAGTGCTACAAGCTGAAAACAGGCCTTTATTGGGCGACCTCCCCGCTAGACACAAGGACACTCTTCAGGCTCTCATTCGTCTAGCTGCAGCAATACCTGCTGTCTGGGCCTCGCCTAAGCATCTCGCCCATCACGCATTAAGTTCTCTCAATACGTTGGAGTGTACTTCACCCTTAACACATGAGCCCTTCGGCACTTTAGTGTCGTTAGTACTTACAGCTCCCTCATTGTTCTGTAAAGTCGCCGGTCCGGCTCGACCCAACAATCTAGCCCGACAAATATCTTTGCAGTGCTTTAGAGCCAATTTAACAAGAGCTTTACTAGTCGCCGATCTGTCTAGCTGCAAGAGTGTACCTATGGAAGAGCAAGGGGATTATAAAAACTCTTCAGAATTGGATTCTTTACTGCCTTTCATAAAAGAACTTCGAAAAGGTGTATTAGAAGAGAATTTGAACCCTGTAGAAGTATGGGCGAAGATAAAAAGTCAATGTCACGCCTTTTTGAGATGTTGTTGCTTATTCTTCTTCTTCTTGAGTGACATAAACCCACCTTCAGAATTGACAGTTGTAGGTGGTGATACTTGGGACACGATGTGCGGATACCTTGGTCTCCCTTCATCATATAAGGAATTAATAGACATGTATTCAACGAAGAAGAAGATTACTGAGTGGGTGGGCTTATCATCTGAATGGTTTAACGGAGAGATACCAGCACGTGTAGTAACTGATCCTGATGAACCACCTCGACTGATCCCGTTGCCTGATGATTTCTCAGAGTTGATGAATATAGTATCCGAGTTCTCTTGTCCCAATTCTGAGAGGGAAGACAGTAAGAAGCCAACGATGTGCTTGGTGTGTGGACAGATTCTTTGCTCGCAGAGTTATTGCTGCCAAGCTGATATACCAAAGGTGAGTTTTATAATTCCTATAAATTCTTAACTTAAAAATTATATATGTCGTGAAACTACTAATCATAAAGCCAAAAAAATTCTGATTCTGATTTAGCGACTGGGGAATTTTTGTTTTTGAGGAATTACAATTGACGTAGTTTTTGCATTTGGGTTGGCGGCCCATAGATAATTGTTAAAATCTGTCTACAATTTATTTATTATTTATAGTACATAATAAATTTAAATGCTTAAATTTTCTAGGAATAATCAATACTCGTTAATTGCTTCTTGCCTTAAGGTAATTGGTCATTCAAAACCTTATTTTTGAGCCCAAGACGTAGAAGTTTTAAATTTCGGGTTAAAAAGACTGACTTTTTTAAAATCCTAGTGACCCCCTTATCGCGGTAGCGCACTCGTAGCTAGTGCAGAGTGAGCGACTTACAAGTTTCGCGAACGGTAAACTTATGATTCGTAAGGCTCGGTCTGAGCGGTCCCAAGAATCGGTCGGAGATCTCGACAAAAGGATACGCACGTTATCACCGTACCTAGACTTCATAGATGTTAAACGTGAGTCAGGTGCTATAGTCGTAGAGCGCAAGTAGCGTGAGGTAAAGCCGTCCCGTTTCCGTCAGGCGGGGCTGCGCGGCGAGACGACGCGCGTGGGGGCGGTGGTGGCGCACTGCGTGCAGTGCGGGGGCGGCGCCGGCGCGTTCCTGCGCGTGCGCGAGTGCGAGCTGCTGCTGCTGGCGGCGCCCGCGCGCGGCGCCAAGCTGCCCGCGCCCTTCCTCGACTCGTACGGCGAGACCGACCAGGTACCTACAGCTTTTATATTGTTTCGTCTTTACGCTACCTACTCATCATTTTTTTTTACCTTTTGTAATATTATACGAGGAAATATTCGCTGTGTAGATCGATGCACTTTTGTAAACGTTGGAACCGATTTTCGTAACATTTTCCGTGTGCATTACCCCAGCAAAATAATGTCGAAAATGGTCATTTAAACTTTATAGATAATTAGTTGCTCCCCTTCTGTAATTGTTAAGCACATTTTTAAATTTGTTTCACTTAAACTTTTTTAGTTGTTTCAAAAAAACATTTCCTGCTGGAGTAACGTTTGAAACGTTACCGCAGCCAGACATTTTCTTTTTTAATTGTAATATTGAAATAAATTTTAGCTAGATAATTAGTTATCTGGACTAGGTAAATGTTACAACTTATTTGGTATTTGTATTTTCTTCGGTTGCGAAGTTATTCGAAATCCTGCTGGAGTAACGTTTGTTGGTTTGCTGGATCTCTGAAACGGGTAAGCGGATTGTAACCATCTTTTGTACATAACTTCTTAAGGATTAGTTTTAATTTGTTCGACAATAAAATAATAAAAAAATGGACCGTTCAAAAATTATTTAGGTAAGTATGAAAACACTTCAATACGTCCTAACACTTTAAATCACGGCGTTGACACTTCATACATTGGCTTTTGACTCTAGGAGCTTGGGTATTCATAACGTAACCCCAGCAGAGGCCGCTAGTATGGGCCGATGACAGAACTGTCATGTGTATATGTCACAAATTTAAATGTCAAATAGTCTGTTACAGTTTTGAAGTTGATCGAAAGGTTTTGCGTTGATTAATTTCCGTAGCTTATTCTCTCAGTATTTAAAACTGTGATTACTAATATAAGTGCATTTGTTGTATAGAATATTTCAAAAATGCCGTTTATTTCATGCTGTATATCGTGTCAGAAGACGAAATACGATGTTACTTTGTTTCGATTCCCTCGAAATGAAACATTACAGCAAATATGGCTTAAACAAGTAGCACCTCATTATCAACAAGCCAAGCAGCTAACTCCGCAACAATTGATAGAAAGAAAAATTTGTATAAGGCACTGAACAAAATTTTTTATTGGAAATAAAAGGCTATATAATGCTAGCTCTACATTAATGTCTGAAGAAGAAATAACAACAAGAATACCAACAAATCCTGTGAATATAGAAGGTTAGTGAGTGGTTAAAATAATTGGTCATTGTATTTAAATTAATATGATGTGTTAAAGTTTGTGTGTAAAAGTAGTTTATAATTTACCAAGAGCTCTAGTTATGTTACAGAATGATTTTTGTTATATACCTCGCTGTTTTTAAATTTCAGTTGAAAGTGATCACACATATGCCAAATTAACTACTACATTAGATCACAATTATTGTAAGGGGCCCTTAATGAATACGACTTGTGCACAGCCAAAAAAAGTTCCTTTTGAAACAAATTAAAGGTTGGGCTCAGTTGATCAAATTGAAGCCCTCAACATCGATGGAAAATATCACAACAAGAGGTAAGATAAATTAACATATTTTTAGAATCACATGCTTTGTTATCTATTTAGTAAAAGAACTTTGTTCAGTATTAAGGCAGCTTTTGAACTAGAAAGTTTCCTACTACTACTACAAATAACTACATAACTGTATATGTGATACAAGTATACACTCCATTCAAGAGTACAACTGAAAACCCTATGTGGTTTTTTCCAAAGCCATATCATAATACAAAAATGTATTATTGACTAGTTTAAAACTATTATATAGCTATTAAAGCAAGTATTGAACAATTTTGGACAAAAATAATCCTTTAAGTTTCAGGTGTAAAAGTAATAGTAAATGGTTTTTTGCAGTTAAGCAACAATAAAACACTACAGTTTTTATTGCTGTAGTAGTCCAAACAATAATTTTGTTTTTTTTGTAGGTCATCAAGCAGATGGAAGCCTGGTTAGCAGCACTGTAAGAAACACAGCGGATGCAGTTGAATTCTTTGACAAATTGTTTGATAGTTGCAATGGATCAAGAGGAGGCCAAGCTCCCAGAAATTGAGGGGCCCTGTGAAACTTAATTCACCACATGCAGTATTTTGGGCTGATGCAATTAAAACTATTAAAATTTATATATATATTAATCATGCTAGCAGAACACAAAAAAATTAAAAATGTTCCCACATTGGATAATGTGATGACAACCTTAGAAAGCCATTTAAGGTTAAAAGATGTCTTGTTTTCTAAAAAAGTTTTGTTCTATCATACAAGTAATTTCAACCAAGATCCCCTGAAAAACTTTTTTGGTAAAATAAGATCTCACAATTATGAAATAATAATCCAGATACATACACATTCGAAAACTCTTTCAAATCCTTGATTATGACCAATATGCTAAGTATTCATTCTAATTATGCAAATTGTGAGGATGATGTAGGGGCAACAATATTAAATCTAAAGTAATTGTTGTCCCCATGTCATTCATACCAAGCAACCACGATTGTAGAAAAAGAGCCAAATATTGTACAGAAGAATGCTGCAATATCAACTTCTTCTACTTTCATACAGGTTACATAATCAATAATGTAAGGGGTTTAAATGTATTAAATGCAAAAAAAAACAATGATTACAAAGGAGTTGACAAATGTGCATGAATTAACTTTGTATAGAGAACGAAAAAGTTTAAAAAACAAAAACTTAAAGTATCCCTGTACCCAATTATTGTAGCATTTTCTCAATTAATCAATGCAATAAACTAATACTTGGAACATAACTGCAATAAAAAATACGTATACAAGAATGTCAGACAAAAATATTTAGAAGAAATAAATTTGGAATGGTTGGGCTGTTCTTCCCATAAAGATCTATTAAAAGAACATTTTATTAAGATCATAACACGATTACAAATTTTTAATTGGTGCCGAGGCATCAACTTAATTTTGGGTGGAACAGTTCAAAGAAAGGTAAAATAGGCAAATTTAAGTACAGTTCAAAAATTAGACTACAACAAGTTTATGAAAAGCAGGAAATATAAGATTAAAAACTAAAAGTTGTTTCAATTTTTGTACCTTTTTAAAAATGATAAGAATAAAAAATAAGACTAATTTCAAAATGAGGGAAACCGACTTTTCGCATCACTATTTTATCGATATCGATACGACGATTTTGATGGTATGCACTGGCCTACGTTCGGCTCACTAGCGCCCCTAGCGGATCATCGTCATGAAGACTCAAACTCATATGAAATGACGTTTGTTCAGGAGGTGTCTTATCTGTACTATGTACATATCTCTTAATCTGTGCTTTAAATAAGACCTCTAAAGACTTACTCGAAACGTTATTCTATTGCTTGTAACTACCTTCAAATGTATACGAATTTTCGTAAGAATACTGTAAGTGACTAAAAAGTTATGATGAAATGTAGCTCTCCACGTTCACGATCACAATGTGTGCGACCTTTTTTGGCCACCGATAAACCTGTGTGTGGATATATAAACTGAATGTTATGCCAATAATTAGTTGTTTAGTTCAGTTGTCTACCTGTAAAATTTCAGCGTAGTACATATAATAATTTACGAGATAATTAAATAAAAGTCATTAGAAGGTGCAAGACCGTGGTAACTCGACCATGTTTAGGTGGTTACAAAAAAGCGATCACCCAGTACATTGTGCTGGCTTTTAAAATATGTAGGATATTATTTGGAAGTTTACTACGGATATGTACATAAGTGTTACAAAAAACTACATGTTTTTTAAATATTTTTTATTTAGGATTGTTTATTGCATAATTTGTAATCAGCCGGGAGATTAGGTATTGTTTTGAATGCTTTTGTTTTCTCGTAATGTTTAGGTGAATTGTTTATAGTTGTTCATAGAATAAGTACCTGCGTAGTATTTGTTAATTGAAGTTTAATTTTAGGGTAGGTATAGGTAATTTAAGAAATATGAAATGAAATGATAAGTTTTGAAGAGTGTAACGTATGCGTTGTAAATAGGTATTTTGTGAATAGATGGGGATTTTTTTAAGTGATGAATCGACTTAGGCTAGCATATCGCGAACAAACTCTGTATTGCATTATTTCTGTAATAATGTTGGAGAAAATAAAATATTTGATCACAAAATCGCGGTGAGTTAAATTATAATAAAATAAATTATTTATGTAAAATTAGTAATAAGTGATATACCTACCTAAAAGTTATGATCGTTTTTAATTTGTTCACCCTGAACGAAATTTCAATATTAGCATTAGTAATTAATATCCTAAGACAAGAATTGACAATTACTTAAATTGAATCGAATTAGCATTAATGCCTATTATTAGTAATTAGGTACACACATATTGAAGAACTCTCAAGAATACGATAAATATTTGCAAAAATAGGAAGCGCACACGTACTTTACAACACGTATATTATCTGCTTAAGGGTCAAGTTTAGTGCACTAGATGCAAAAGGCAAACAATGAAGTATCCCTTCGCCCCTCCCCCTCCCGCGTTCTAGCGAAGGATGTATTATCAGCGATTCTTGATTGACAAATATTATCTGACCAATAATTTTATCTATAAAAATGTATCACTTTCACTCGATAAATTAAATTACCGTTATTATATCAAAATATCATTCAACAACTGTTCGTTTTTAACAGAAATCAACAGTCACGGGCTCAACGCTTAACGGTAGGTACATAGGTATAGATAATTCTCGGTTCTAGGTATAGACCACAGAACAATATTACCTACTCTTACGAGGTATACGACTGTTGGGCGATGCAATGTTGATGCATTCTAATTTACAACTGTATTCTTCTACTATTCGGTCTATTTTAACTTATTGTAGATGACTTGTTGCTTTATATATTTTGATGCATTCAAGTCTAAGCTCTATACACCCCAAAATAAAATACAATTACTTTAGTGTTATTTCTTTACAAAAAAAAATCAAAGATATGAAACGATTTCTTATTGGTTTAAATTTTCGTTTTATTGCAGTCAGGTGAATCGTTCATACATGTATCTACATATTTATAATTTTAGCGGACCAGTGCAGATTTTCTGTTGATTGTAGCTCCGGTAGTAAAAAAGACTAAATAAATTTTAAGTAAAGAAACAAGTGCTTAAGATCAATTAGGGAAAAAAAACAAAATAAATAATAGGTAATAATTAGACTTGCAACGAATAGTATATTCGGCAGTATACCGAATACCGAATATTCGGCGAGGCCCCTGACCGAATAGCCGAATATTAGGCAAAAGTATTCGGCTGGATTTTAGCGCCAAAAACTTGTACAGACGTGAATTAAATTATGTACCTGTTTTATGTACCAATGACTACTTAATAAATGATTATAAAAGAAATGAGAACCTTACCCTTCTAAATGTTGATTACCACAATAATTCAAATACATAGAATCCTCCATTTTTCCTATTCAGAAGATGATTATGTAGCTGTGTTATGCACCAATGACTACTTAAATGATTATAACAGAAATGAAAATATGAATATATACGTAATCAATCGATTTTAATTTTTCATTTTACCAATTATTTCTCAATGACAAAATATATTATTTAAGTATTCGGTATTCGGCCGAATAATATGTAGATATTCGGTATTCGGCCGAATATAATAAAAGCAGCCGAATAGGCCGAATACCGAATAGTAACCGAATATTCGTTGCAAGTCTAGTAATAATAATGAATAAATATTGAATGTATTTAACACTGTACGCAACTGTACCGAAATCGTAAGGTGTATTACACTAAACATTTTAAAAGACAGCGCAATGTACTGGGTGATCGCTTTTTTGTAACCACCTAAACATGGTCGGATTACCACGGACTTGCACCTTCTAATGACTTTTATTTAATTATCTCGTAAATTATTATATGTACGACGCTGAAATTCTACAGGTAGATAACTGAACTAAAAAACTAATTATTGGCATAACATTCAGTTTATATATCCACACACAGGTTTATCGGTGGCTAAAAAAGGCCGCACTCATTGTGATCGTGAACGTGGAGAGCTACATTTCATCATAACTTTTTAGTCACTTACAGTATTCTTACGAAAATTCGTATACATTTGAAGGTAGTTACAAGCAATAGAATAACGTTTCAAGTAAGTCTTTAGAGGTCTTATTTAAAGTGTTAGGACGTATTGAAGTGTTTTCATACTTACCTAAATAATTTTTAAACGGTCCATTATTTTTGTTATTTTATTGTCGAACAAATTAAAACTAATCCTTAAGAAGTTATGTACAAAAGATGGTTACAATCCGCTTACCCGTTTCAGAGATCCAGCAAACCCACAAACGTTACTCCAGCAGGATTTCGAATAACTTCGCAGCCGAAGAAAATACAAATACCAAATAAGTTGTAACATTTACCTAGTCCAGATAACTAATTATCTAGCTAAAATTTATTTCAATTATACCAATTAAAAAAGAAAATGTCTGGCTGCGGTAACGTTTCAAACGTTACCCCAGCAGGAAATGTTTTTTTGTAATAACTAAAAAAGTTTAAGTGAAACAAATTTAAAAATGTGCCTAACAATTACAGAAGGGGAGCAACTAATTATCTATAAAGTTTAAATGACAATTTTCGACATTATTTTGCTGGGGTAACGCACACACATTTTCCATTCTGATTATCTCATCTCCAAAATGTGTCTTTTGGAACGCATCGACGGCCTCTTCACGATTTACAAAACTTTGACTACGTAATTTATTCTTCACGGTTGGGAATGAACAGAAGTCGTCGGGGCCGAGTCACCGTACGGCGGATGACCTGTTAATTTGATCTTTCGATCTTCCAAATACTGAGTTGTTTCGGCCGATGTGTGGTAGCTAGCATTGGCAAGATGACGAAGGATTCTGCGTTGTCGGTTATTCTTTCTTATTTCTTCAAAGACTTCTGGCAAACAAATGCTCGTGTACAATTCAGTATTAACCGTTTTACGATCCTCTAGTGGCGCTGTAACCACAAGTCCATTTATACCAAAAAACAAGCGAATATTTGCTTCAAAGTGCTTTTAAAACGAATGATTTTTGTTGAGTTTGGCACATCTTGTAACACCCAAACCGTTGATTTGTTTACGTTTCAGGATCATACGCATATATCCAAGATTCATGACCTGTGTAAATGTTATAGACAGCTTTTGACGCACTCTGATTGTACTTTTGTAACATTTTTTTGTAAAACATAGCACGAAAATTGTCACGAGTTAAATACATAGTGATAAAGACACGCAATTTTCAAAATGACGCCACAAATTAATAACAGATGACAGCTACATGAAACAAATTGTATTCTTCAGCCAAAGAGTTCCATTTTTAAATTTTATAATTACTTTTTTAATATTAATAACTAGCCACTTCCGGATACATAAATAGCAGCCCTCGTAGTCCATATTCGAGTGATAATCTAGACTTGCCGATTAAATTTTTACTGCTTTAGGATAAATATGGTTGTTCGCCATAACTCTACGGGTTGTACAGCTCGATCGCTGATGTTTCAGGGTCTGCGTCGCGGGAACCCTCTCACCCTTTGCCCGGAGCGGTACGAGCAGCTCCGCATGCTGTGGCTGAGTCACGGCCTACACGAGCGCATCGCGCGGTCCCTCGACACGAGCGTCCTGGTTATCACCACTTGGCAGAACTTGTGACGCGCCGCGGCAGAACCCGTGTACGCACCAGCTCATCTCTTTCTCACACTTGAACATGTAGAATCCTTGGCTAAAAATTGTATACAAAAATAAGGATACTCGGATGGAATTTCAAAATATCCTTAAACATTTTTTTTGATGATATGTTTTGAAAGCCAAGTCCAAATTTGATTTGACATACTGACACTTTGCTGCGATATTATATGTTTCTCATTTTTTATTTAAAGTATTTCTATTAAATGTATATTGTGTCTTGAATATATTGTTTTCGATGTTTGAATAAAAACATAAAGGAGTGCAATGAAAGCTATGATCGTCTGACGATTACTTAATGTAATTTTTTCCTTCGTCAACAAGATGGTTTTAAAAAGTTAGGTGTATTCCAAAGTTCTGAATCTTGTAAAGTGCTATCTGCTAGTTATTATCTTAAGGCAGATCACGATTAGGATTATCGATTAGTTAATCAGTTGCAGTTTGTTTGAAACTAATAAGACTTTTTAACAACAGTCAGTTTGTATGAACATATATTTTAATAAATAAATTTTCATACAAACTGACTAATAGTAACTGTACATTAATAGTAGCACATTAATAGTCACTGTACATTTTTCTTTGTGGCATTAGGCACAGATAAAAATGTACAGTGACTATTAAATACAGTAATTTCAATTAAACGATTTGCTATACAACATAAAACAATAAAATTAAATACATCTCTGTCATGTTTCCGTTTGACTTGAGTTTTTGTCTCACCAGGTTTTAGTAGATTGATATTAACAAAATTAACAATTGCTCTGTGTGTGACACCAAAATAATAATTTTGGGAATAAAAAAAAAAGTTGATGGCCAAACATGATTTACGCAAGCAGCAGGTACCTATATAATATATATATAATTATATATATACATATGGCAGCTCTGATTTACGCCAATATTGATTTACCAATTTTCACATATTATTTTCAAAACAACGTCATAACTCTCATGTTTGATGTACCATCATTTTAGATATAAAGTAAGTTTTTATTACTTTATTAAATATGTACCTAATTCAATTATACATAGTTAAATGTTAAAGGACTTAGAGCTCAAAGAAGTTATGCGATAATAAACTTAGTTTTTTCCCATTTATCGGTATCAAATTGAAGCTTCCTTCACTCATCTTTTACTGTGTTTGGCGGCGCCATCTTTTAAACAATACATAACATATTTTGTTAACTGCTCACTCAAGTTATATGATGAAATTAAATTTGTTTTTTTTTTTCAAGATTGCACTACGAGGTATTAAGGGGATAATTGTTTACAAATATATATATTAAGTTGTTAGATTTTTTTCCAACGTAATGTTGATTAACACTATTAAATTTTCAAAATATCTATGGTCTACCTTCTTATTCTTCATCAATTCTTTTTTTAAATGAAATTCAATAAAAATATTTATATGCATAAATATGCATTTTTATGTATCCATAGTACAAGCGCCGCATAGTTGGGTGTAGATACTGATGTGTAATACATCCCTGGCTGTTATTAGTTTTATTTTTGGTGTTATTCTGATAAAAAACAAAAACGAAGCAATCATGTTTAACGCACTACTAATATTTAGTTCCTAATAACACGATCTTAGTGCAATCCGTATACATTTTCGTGTCGCGTGTATGTTTATATTTTTATTTTAGACTAGTTTATAAAAATTTAGTGTTGAATTAGAAATTAGTCTATAGGCTCCTTTCAATTAAGAGATTCATCATTCATTTATAGTTAGTGAGTGTTAAAGGTAAACATAAATGACAGATTCGCTAAACATTTTGAAAAGTTGCAATTAGATACAACAATATTGAGATTTCCGACTAGTTATTAATCAAATTTGAAATGTTTACTAGAGTATTAATGGTTTTAAAAAAAATAACATGAAGTTTGCTGTGAACATAAGTGATGTTTACTGATTTTCTATACGTATATTTTAAAAAAAAATGAAGTAAAGACTTCAACTAGAAAGAAAGAAAGTAATGATCGGATTAGGGTGTTTTGACACTGACTTTTAGTATACAACTATGTAGTCACCTACAGTTGTGACTGCATGGTGTGTGCACATGGGTTGTAGTAACACACAACTTAGATATATTATATATGAAAAAAAATTACATTTTATATGATCGCGAAACACCCAACATTCGTCATAAGTCAATTGGAAGTTGGCAATGTGTTGATTTGTAACATAAAACATTGCAGATATGATTTTATTTATCTTCAAAGATATATTTATTGCTATATATGTTTATGAGATTATACACCTATTCAAATTATTTTACGATAATATTTGTATAATGTATTATGAAATGTTGTGTGAAAGCTTATAGGAAATCATGATTTCATTTAAATACAAATCAACACGTTGCGCGGTTGTTTAACATACTTATACCCAATCAGACAAAGGTAGACTTTTGAGCCACTCTTCTTTTCCCCGAAGGCGATAGAACAATATTAATATGCACTAACACACTGGCTGCGTGTGGATCGTTTGACCTATAAACAGTTATAATTGCGATAGCTACTTTTACATATATATATACTTTTACTAAAAAAGATGTAAGTCCTTACATCTTTTTTAGTAAAAGTTCCTATATAATATTGGTTCATGGGCTTGTTCCCTACGCTTTTTAAAAAGCTACTTTGTTCTAAAGTCTACCTTAACTTTTATAATATCTATTGTATGCAATTGTTTAGCTCGTTTTCGCAATACCAATGATTTTGCACACATTATATAAGCTGAGTTCGATATCTGCTGATGTACTTTCAGACTATTATTAATGTGATAATTTATAGTTGTGATCGTGTGCGGCACATGGTAATTTGTTACTAGTATTATACTACAATGTAGCGCCGACGTGTAATGGTGGCTGATTGTGGTTGTACCAGCGACGACGCTGTCTATGTTCTCTTATTAATTAAATTAATATAATATAACAAAAATAAATGTGGTTTTATTTCGTTGCAATACCTTCACCATTGCCTACTGCTTCTAGGGTTACAAAATTTCAAAATGATCGGTTCAGTGGTTATATATTATATATATATCGCATTTGCGTTTATGTTGGAACTAGTAATCACCAAGTTGCGAGTGATGGAGATGCTTTAAGGAATGACTAGTCCTTATCCTTGCTCAATTTTATTGTTATAAAGCCGAAAATGAGTTAAATAGATTTTTACGAATATAAACAGATGGCTGTGTGCTTTATCGATGTTATTCCGGCACCACTACTGTTTTGTAGGTATAAAATGCTAAAAGCATAGCTTGACGCATAGAGCACGCTGTTGCCTAACCTAACCGCTACGTCGAAAAGCGGTCAAAATGTTAAATGTCTTTACAGTATCTTTCATTGCGAAAAAGTAGTATTCCCGAAGAATAGTGGCAACCTAGACCCGAATTGCGTTCTAATTCGTTTACAAAATCTCAGTTTCGCTAGACTATGCGCGTCAAGGTGACGGGACCGCGCCATGTTCCTAACGAGTTCGAAAACCTGGCGTAGTCCCGTCATCTTGACGTTCACCCTTCTAACTAATTAATGTACCTATACCAGCATCTGTCTAAAGTATCTAGTGATCAATCTATAATGGATTGCACTAAAAACTGATGGAACACGTCTATGTTTATATCACGATATCCACCTTACACTAATGGTCAAAATCTACATAAAGCCACGTGTAGTTTTGCTATATATACATTGTTCTTGTACTATTGAACTGTAATTTCATAATTACGTTCATAAGACTCCGTGGCGCAACGGTAGCGCGTCTGACTCCAGATCAGAAGGTTGCGTGTTCAAATCACGTCGGGGTCAAAAGTTCTCTTTTTGCCATTTGCATATTTTTTATGAATATTTATTTTACGTAAATAGTGGCAATCGTCATGATTACATAATAAAACAAATTTAACATTTTAATTTCAATATGAAACCAGGTGTATTGTTTGGCGTAAATTAAACACACGAATAACAACGTAAAATGATTTATATAATCTCAATGATTTTGTATCATACAATACTTATCATACTAATCTTATATAAAAATAAATAAAGTTCATAATACAGGTATTTTTTACATAATCTTCGAATTTATAAAAATTTCTTCACATTAAATATAGCTCAAAAGGTAAATCGATTATCCAATATGAAAAAATATACACGCATCTTAAATTATACGTTGGTTTAGACAAAATAGTTTTAATTCGGAATGTAATAATTGCTATACTTAACAATTGTCACAAACAATATTAGATACACAAACACAAGGTATTCTATCGTGGTCACCTTATTATATAAATAAACTCTGGCTGACCTCATTTAAGGTATAGGTCTCACCAATCTAAAGGTTTGTACAACACTCATAGCTCTAGGGATGTTAACTCGCTTTTATCACAAGTACTTACCGCAGTTGAAGGGGTTTACAATAAACTGGTTTGCATTAATAGAAGAATCAGAGGTTCATACTTACTGTTTTCTATAAATGATTTGGATGGTCTGCATTTCTACTTGAAAGGAATTTAAATTGTCGAGAATAAGCAAGACTACATTTAGGACTTTATAGCATATGTGTTAGGTACTAAAGTCCTCTTTAAATTAATTTTCAAGATATCACCTTTTACGGAGATAGCTTTACAACCAGAGAAAAACTGACAAAGAAACGCATGCATGCATGACAGCATGCGTGCAATTATATCACACTTATCTATAGCACACCTGAATAATACTAATTAATAATTTGCATAATTCATGACTATATTACTAAAGAATGGCATATAAACATTGCATTTTATATTTTGTCCTCTCTTATCTTATTATGTTTGTACTTGGCACTTTTACATAAGTACTGTGTATACTCAAGTTATAACTGGCTGCCATTTTTGACTTTGTATTTCGTCATGGGGAGTATCAGGTAAATAAAACCGGGTGTAAGAAACAGTGTACCGAAAAGTGAAACACTGGATTAAAATCACCATTCTCAGTTAAATATGGTTGGTATTTTCTCCCAGTTTTTTTATAACATTACATTCTGTTTCGGTGTACCGTAACTTACACGGTGTATATCAAATACAGATTATACAATAATCTATACTGAGTAACACAACGTTATGATTATTATTAGTGTCGGGGCAGATAACATTATCACATATCTTCTAAATTAGCACTACGAGCTTCTACAGGCAAGGTGAATCATGACCATTGATGTTAAGGTTTAAGAGATTTGTATTATCAAAAAATATGTTTTATTATCGAACATATTTTTCTTGTCTCTGTTGAAAAGTGGACACAGTCGAAAATTACTAATTATACTACATATGCATAGTTCACGTGTTTTAACATGCATTTCTAATATATATTTCTGCAATTTAAATCTTAAACATAATAGAGGGCGCTACTGAAGTCTTAGGTTGTTAGTTTAAACGTCAAGATGAAAGCCCCGTCAGAGGGCTAAAATATTGTCGTTGCTTTGCGTTTCCCCGTTTATTAAGTAACGATCCTCTAGCGTATTTTATGTTGGACAGTCCTAAAATCTAGTTTTAAATTCCGGACGTCATAAAAAAAACTTTTTATATGATACTGTTAATATAATATACTCTCAGGATTTGAAAGAGCCTATTTGTTTAACCTTATAGTAGTACTTCATAAGATGAAGGTTCATGGGCACTCTTACATCAAATGCATAAGGTTCAAATTTAATAACGCCCCAACGCCACTAGATTTAATATTCACGTCGTGCAACCTAATTTGTGCCTAAAAAATAATAGAAGTATTCTTTCTATAGTAAAACAGACATGTAGCCCTATTGAAGGAGCCGCCAATTAGCTGCCATTTAATGTATGTGTCGAGTTTAGTAACTTTTATAAATAGAGAATGGACTGAGCGTTATCCTCACAAAAGTGACCACTCTTTATAAAGTGACAAACCGCCAATGCCTGTCTATTTTCTGCAAAGCCTTATTTTATATTATATATAAGATACACTCCAGTGACGTGAACTAATGAGAATACTAGAAAAAGACAACCACTGGCCGCACATTGGCTTTGTCTCTCTCGTACTTTTCGGTCTGTATTCACTGCACAACTAAATACGGAACGCGCAGTCCATTCTGTATATCTATGCTTTTATACCCATAATGGACATTCCACAGCCAATTAAGTCTTCTTCTAATCATTAATCAATTAAGGCAAGTTCATTTGACTTAGGCGCCTTTTCTATTGCTTATTAATTCATACTTAGATATACGCTATATTACATATAAATATTTTGTGAGTTAATTGTTTCTCCTACAAAATCTTGGTTTAGTAAACTTGACGAGCGAATACGGATAATATAGAATACGAAAGGATAAGAATGTGTGTGTATGGTGACAGAGAAAGAAGATATCTATAAAAAAAAAAGGAAAAAGAAGAGTTGCACGGCTTTTCACTGCCGCACTGACCTGCTTATTCAACTGCCGGTAGTTGAACAAAAAACTGTTTGAAGTTAGGCATTTGGCAAATAACATTGAAAACAAATAATTACAACAACAAAAAAGTTGGGTGTATCTATCATCTTTGCTAGGAATTAAGAACATGGACTACTAATAATAAGTTTAAAGCATGTAATATTTTAGTATTCTATATTTTCTAACACGACTCAATAATTTAATACAATTTTTTTCCCTTGTCAAGTAGAAGTAACAATTTTACATAAAAAGTGGGACGAACCTTCAAAGTGTTTTTAATATATATCAAATACCTCACAAATACAAAAGCGATTGCAACATAGTTTATAAACCAAATAAGTTTGGCCGACAAGCAAACCCTACTAAGAAATCTAATATAGACATCAAGATTATAAAAGCCTCTAGAATAGTAGTCAAAGAATATATCTACTTAGTGGCAAGAATGGAGTCAGGTGGACAATAATCCCCAGTACATACAGGTAAAATAACCATTAACAGTCAAACCGTTGTACGGAATCTCTGAACTCAGGAATAACTGAATCACACCAAAGAAGGACTCTATACCATAGCAAAAAAGAGAACTCTCTAGGTGGGAATAAAAATAATATTTCAACTTTAATTTATGAAATATTTATCAAGTCGTCTCTCGTGTACACCGAATAGATGCGTTCAAGTTTCACATCATCTAAACTCGCAGTCTTTAAAAAAAAACAAATTCAGAGTGAGCATACACTTTCTAGAGACTGGTCCTCTTTCTTAAAACAAGATCTTCGTGCGTCTTTTTAATCAGCTGATTGGTATACTAGAGCAAATTTTCCTAATTTCTCACGTAGAATATACCTTAAATCGATCTTTGGGTTCTAGGTCATGGAATACACACGGAACCGGGTACCGTGAAGACAGTAAACCGTTTTCTTAATGTGCACGGCTGCGTCTAGTTGCAGAGACAACTGTCGCTGGAGTTTGTAGCCGCGGGACGTTTTTGTCGCGGTAAAGTTACCACGCCCGGCCGGTGCTCACCCTGAAAGTAATATTTTTATGTAATTTAGCAATAAAAGTGTAAAATATTACATTAAGACTGGATAATAGAACGATTTTTGGGTATATATATAAGTGTATATTATAGACGATAATAATAATTAAATTGCATAATAAATGTTCAAGCAAGATTTTAATCATTCAAATAATTAAAATTAAATTACTTTAATGCACAGAACGCGTTCTGTGAATTGGTACTAATTAGGACCACTGAGAGCGAGCGCATGTACTAATTAATTCAAGAACATTCATAAAATGCCTTCTGTGTATTCCGAAAGTGCACAAATTACGATAAAAGATAAATAAAGTAAAAAGGGATATCGTACCACAGGTGAGTGTATGTTTTGTTCTTAAATGCCTTAATAGATGTATGTACGGTTACGGAACAAATATCTCGTGCGTGCACTATGAATATCACGTATCTTTTTTAAAATTTCATTGGATTAGATAGACTGTCGAAGTTGAAAGCGTTGACAAAAATGGCCACTGTCCACACACCTATATACATATTGTAAATATAAAGGATTTGCTCCTATTATTATGTTACAAACAAGTCAAATTTCCTGTGTCAAATTTTAAGTACCTTTAAGCTGAACTAAAGATACATTTGTAATGAAAAAAACGGCGGTAGGGGTCTATGGAGCCCCGGTAGAAACGAAGTTTCTTTCGCTTTTTGGTAGACGTATAGCAAGAAGAGAGGAATGGGAGAGGCCTATGTCCAGCAGTGGACTGCGATAGGCTGATGTTGATGATGATAGCAAAAAGTATCGGAAAAAAGTCTTGTTACAAAATTGTCTGTCTCCAGGCGATAAGAAACTTGGTTCTAAAAAACACTACAAATTGTGGTATCTCACCTCAACACTAACAACTCTGAGAGGTTGTTTGGAATAGAGTTTGTGTGCCAGCGTCATAAATATAGACTCGACGTTGTTGCATTCCGTGTCCAACAGTGCCGACGTTTCAAACAACTGCAAACACAACACTAGTTTGTAGTACTTAAAACTATGTACTACAGAGTTCAAAATCTAAAGATTGTCAAGTCAGCTTATAGTATGATTTTAGTTAATTTCCCAAAACAATAATAATAACCCTATAAGAACTACAGTACACACTTCGCCAGAAAACTTATGTAATTAAATAATACATGCCCCCTGTATCATAAAAAAAAACTGCGTGTGTCAGCTCCGACGCACGACTGCAGTTTACTTCTTAAGAACGATTTGGCTGTACACAAGTATACAAGTAATACATACACGTGCGCACAAAAAAAAACATTGATAGTCTTGATTCGGTCGACGAACTGACTTGACCTAACCAAAATCTTTACTAAGGAAGATTTCGTAAACTGACATAGATAACACGAAAAAATTGACCCGATATCATATATGTAATAAGGAGACAAACTATTGTGTAAACAACCAAAGAACGGAAAAAAAACATATGTTCTCTTCAAATACTTTATTTCACCTATTGATAAATTAGCTGCAAGCAAAAATGAACTTTATTGTAACCCTGTAATACACCAGTATCATTTTGCTGCCTTTTAATTTTATTGCACATGCCTTGCGAATTTTATACCAGACAAAACATCCAGCTATTAACAGATTAATGATAGATAATAATTATATACATATTTAATGACTCTGTGAACTTTGTATCACCTACATCTATCTATACAAATAAATAAAATTGGAGTGTCTGTTTGTAATATTAAAATAACCACATTTTACTAAATGCATATGTATGTTTACACGGTACATATGCCAAAATAACATTTTTTACAATTTTTGTCTGTCTGTTTGTTTGTTCTTGTTTGGTTTGTTTGGTAATCTCTGAAACGGCTGGACCGATTTCGACGGGACTTTCACGGGCAGATAGCTGATGACATAAGGAGTAACTTAGGCTACTTTTTTTAGACTAGCTTCGCCCCGCGGCGTTGCCCGCGGTTATAACACCAAACGCGGGTAACACCGCGGGTCTCAGCTAGTTATAAATAAAACTGTTAAGTTGGTTTACGCTTCAAAAACACGAAAACTTCCGCACCGATTGAGCTCAAAATTTGACACGATATACAAATCGCTTCAAAGATTGTTTTTATATATTTTTCGAGGAAGGCTATTTAAGGAGGAAAGTTATACTTACAGGCATTCCATACTTATCGGCTAGACGCTGTGCATAGGTAGTAGCGAGCCGTGACTCCGGTGTACCGCAGTCACATTTATTCCCCACCAGAACCCGCGGTGCTCTCATCAGACCGTGTGATTCAACCTCTTGCATCCAACTTGCTATTGACTACAAGGAAAAAGTGAGCCTTAGATTAATAACACCTGAATTCTCAATATGAATTTAACCCCACCCTTATTTCAACGAATGGTAGTCTTTTGCTCGGCTAATGAGGCTCGTGCTTAAGTGGTAACTAAGTAGGTTAACACATTGCTAAGTTAAGCAATCCTAGTCATGTCAGTTTATGGATGGGTGACCATTCTTAACACACTGGGACCCCACTGTGCTTCGGCAAGCACCATAAGCCGTCGGTTCCGGTTGCCATACGAACATCTGATGCAATCGTTACGGGTAGTTGGAGCTTCTTTCTACAGAACTTCGATATCGCCTAGTACTTGGGTTGTGGAGGTCTCATGGCAGTCGCTCCGCTATAAACATCCAAGTTCAGCCGTATCTTAGTAGGCTTAAAGCCGACCCCAACCTAGTTTGGGAAAAAGACTTGGAGGAAGGAAGGTAGTTTTTCGACAGCGATAACGATTTCGACGAACTTTGTGGTACAGCGGTAGTTCTTCTGCTACTGCTACGTAGGGATTGCAATACCCACTCAGTGCAAATAATTGTTTCCTTGAATATATCTATTTGCACAAGTGTATATTGGTGTTCTAAAACACAGAGCACAAAGCACAAGCTCCATTTAATAGTTGGGTTACAGGAAAATTATCTAGACAGATAATTCTGTTCAAGCAAGAAATATTAAAGTCTAATATTATTTACACCAGATTAATTAGAATTTATTAAATTTTATAATTCACATGAAGATGTCTTACTGTCACTAGAAGTAGTGACAGTACATAAAATTCCTTGTCCGACAACCAGTGTTTGCTCACTTCATACAAGCCATGATGAGCTAGTAATAGAGTATGTAATCTTTTAAAGGGTAGAGTCAGCTTATGCTAATGAAAGTTAATGTAATGTCATATTTTCTTACTTACATGGAAAGTTTCAGGTTTGGTCACATCATAAACAATAACAACAGCATGAACATTTCTGTAATAGTGCTGTACCATGGACTTGCGGAATCGTTCTTGACCAGCTGTGTCCCATAGTTGAAGCTGAAAATCAATTAAGTTCATAAGAGAATTTTCATTGATTGCTCCGCTCTATGTCATTTCTAATGAAATGATGAAGTATCCGACAGACTGATAACAACATGGCTGGGCTGGCCTCATCTGCCAAACGACAGATGGCTGCTGGAGCATATGTGTCTTAAGCAGCGTCCACACTATGCCGGAGTATGCCGGGCGAGCCCGGGCGGGCTGACCCGGGCGGCCTAAGCCGGGCGGGTTCGTTCGGGCCGGCACGACGTCCACACCGAAAACGAGGCCGCCCGGGTTATATCTACCTATTAGTTTCAATTCGACACCAAGACTGGACAACTAAAGCCGCCCGGTGCCGCTCGGCACGTCCCCACTACATATTTTCGTTCGGCTCGGGCCGGCATCCTTTGATCTGTACCTACTTTCTGCGGGTTGGGATCGGCTCGGCTCGGGCCGGCTTTTTAAGCCGCCCGGAGCGTCCACACCAACCCCAATTAGTTTCAATTCGACACCAAGACTGGACAACTAAAGCCGCCCGGGTCAGCCCGCTCGGCCTCGCCCGGCATAGTGTGGACGCTGCTTTAGAGTGAAGTCTGCAAACCGTTAAACTAAAGCTAGCAAGTGTAGTTTGGATGCAAAAAGAGGAGGATAGACCGCTATGGTGCAAGGTAGGTGAGGCCTATATCCTAGGCAATATGCTATTTGATTGCTTGTTTGGATTGTTAATCACGAAGAATACTGTCACAGTTACCTAGTAAGGGTATTTTAACTCACAATTTAAGATAATTTGGAGTGACAACTGTAAAGGGTTTTCATATGAAAACATTATATATGATACTTAATCAAAATATTATATATAATTCTATCAAACTAGCTCAATTATCATAAATCATTGGAAATCAATTTCAGCCCTTTTAAGTTATGTTCAATTTAAACCAAAAGAAAACATAAATTTCTTTCTCAATATAACAAATAAACCAGTTTGTTTTGGTATAGTAACACTCAAATACTTAGTAGGAAATAGGTGTGAACAAAAATAGTTGTGAACTTCAGCATCTTTAGCATGGGCCGTCTTCATCTGGTATGAAGATTTTTTATAACAATTTAATTTAATTTCCTTCACCAACAAGTAACTAAGAGAGAAATGTTAACATTAACAACATGTAATATAATATTTAAGTGTTGACATATTTTATTACTTACTAATAGTTGTTATTACCATAAGAATAACATGAACACAGAAGACACAGAATACAGAAGGATTATGTTACGATATATAAACAAAAACAATTTCCCTACTTTAAAATAATTGAAATATTTTATTAAGAATCTATCCATAACTAACCTAAAGTTTATTTTTTATTTGTTAATTTACATATAGTGTTGTTGTCGCTACACACTTTCAAAATTATTAAATAGCTAAAAACAAAGAAGTGCATAGAAATATAATTCTGATCATTTGGATTACGAATTATAGAGCATTACCTTAATATCTTCGTGTCCTATTTTTATATTTCTCTCTCTAAAGTCAACCCCGATGGTAGCCTCTGATTTTTCTAAAAATTGACCTTCGCAAAAGCGATAAGTTAAACATGTTTTGCCCACACCCGAGTCACCCAAAACTATAATTTTAAACACTTTCTTCTGCTTTAATCCTGGTATTTGTTGACTTTGGTTATCCGACATTGTTTAATATATATTTAATTTTGTAGAAGAAATAAACTTGATAATATCATGCTATATTTACAAACATTAGCGATATTGTGATGATACGATTTGGAAACTGGGTAGTGTGACGTATCAGTAGAAACGGTGGTATGGTATCACAGAGTACATTAGACTCTACACTACTAGAATTAATAATAGTCTCTAATGATTAGAGACTATTATAATTAGAGAGGTAGTATGGTATTTATTTATTTAATCAGTTTCAAAGAAAAGTATATAATATCATTTTCTACAAAAGTTAAAACGAGATAGTTATTTTGGCAACCTTTAAACGGTTATCGTGCGATACAATGCTCTACTCTACTGGTAATACTATTCTGTACTACGGACGGATTAAATCTACGATTGAAAAGGCTAACACACGACACTACTTGAAAATTGATAAGATTTCCCGTTGAATTGACTTTTTATGATTAGAATTCGCGTCAAGACCTCCAGGTAAAATTCATGTTCAATGCTATTAGATTAATAATATTGGACAAATTACGTCCATCCGAACGTATTTGATATGATCAAATGAGGCGATCTTGGCAATTGGGTAATTGCAAGTTGCAACATGATTTGATTAAAATAAAATATATATATATTATATTGTGTATATTGTAAGGGGATGTGCGATCAGGTTTCGCGACCACACGTCGTGCATGCATAATTAAGTAAATCACCAGTTTTCATTGGATCTTTTTCTTTGCGCTGAACAAACGCTTGCTAGCTGCCTTTTTTCCGCAGAACCTTCTTCCCAAACTAGGTTGACGTCGGCTTTAAGACTACCACGATAAGGCTAAACTTCTATTTTACTACGATAAGGTGGAACGACTGCGATTAGACCTCTATAACTCAAGTACGAGGCGATATTGAAGTTCTGTAGAAAGACTATCGTCGGACTTTTTTGGGCTCCAACTACCCGTAATGATTTCCTCAGATGTTGCCTTCGGTTCTGATGGCAATCATTAACGTGCTTTCCTAGGTACGGAGGGATCTCAATGTGTTAAGAATAGTCACTCCTTCATAGACTGACCTGGCTTGGGTTGCTCAACTTTGCAATGTGTGACGATGACAACTTAGCCCATTAGTTTGCAAGCTGAAAAAAAATGATGAAATCGGCCAATTAGATACAATACAATATCAAGTCGGGAGCTCCCGACTTTAATTGGGAAATTGATTAGATACGATACGATTTAGTTGATAAGCTTTTCAAATTGCATGTAAAATTGTGTCGTGTGTAAACGGTTTTAACCACCACATTACCAACGATCATGAATACTCTAAAAATGCTGCCAGTAGAATCACCCAATTTTATACAGCAACATTTTTCTAAATTATACTACACCAAATAAAATCATGTAAAAACCAAATTAATTGCTAAAATTAGAGTTAAATGAATAAAAAATGGACAGGCCTAAGAGTAGTCGCATATGATATGAAAGATCTGACGTCTCATCTTTGTAATAATAATGATGATTCAGGTATTATTTGAAATGATTTTGCACTACGAAAAATATTTCTTTTATAATGAAAACTACACATAACAAGAAAAAGGACTTGAAAGTTACAAAAATCTTCAACCGAGCTGTCACTTAATTTAAATAATGTACTGTGTATAAATGTAAGTCTCTAACCTACGGATGTTGTTTGACGTTTTTTTTATGAAAATGTGTTAATTAGTAGTTTAATGTAAGCACGACCAAATAATTTGAGAACAATATTACATACCATACTAGCTGTGCCAGTGGCGGATTATCCCTAAGGCAAAGTAGGCACGTACCTAGAGGCACGAGGTTACATAGGGGCGCCCTCGCAAAATCTTTCAACAGAGAAAAAAGAAATGCCTAACATAATAAGAAATGTGTATATTGTGTAAGTATGCATATACTTACACAATTTAAACAATTCTCTAATTTATATTACATAATTGCCACCACTTCTTCGCTTTTCGTTCGATACCAACGAACTCGTTGGTCCTCCCGGCTGTAGGCTCCAGGTACTGCCCAGTAAACACCCCCACATGACCTCCATATGACGTCATAGGTAGGGCATAGAATATTAACATAGATATGACATAAAAATGACGTTATTGGTTACTTTGATATGATTTCATTATGACATAGTAATGACCTATGCGGTCACATACGCTCGTAGAATGCCCAGCGTAGGTGGAGCAGAGGCTCGATACTATGAGTACCATAATACGAAGCGAGAGTGCGGTGAACGAAGCCACCTCCTTCTGCGAGCAAGTTATACTCGAGAAGGACAGGGCTGAGTGGGATCTGAAGAGGCCATTTATTGCAGGCGGCTCAGGCACCGGAGGTCACTGAATGACCTCTGTCCTGCACAAGTGTAGGCCTGGAGGTGCTGTTAGGCCATCTGTCGCCATAAAAAGAAAGGCCCGGATGTCACACGTAAAAAAATATAGTATGGGCGACAGAGAGATGCACGGAGCGCCGATGAGATGCTTGCCTAGGGCCCTCTTAATAATTCTCCTCCTCCTCCTCTGAGCTGTATTCTGCCATGCCTCGCTGTGGCACATTGTAGTTGAAAAAAAAAAAAACAAAAAAAAAACATATTTGAAGCATGTTGTATTGTCGTGTTGAAAGTTGAGAAATCGGTACAGAACTTCTTGAGTTTTTGAAGTGGACACAAACCAACATAACATATACGTATAAGAGTCTTATTAGACTAGTTATTTTACATTATCTATAGTGTGGTACTAAATATGATGTTATTGAGTAGCTAATTAAAAGAAAAAAGCGAATGCGAAAAAAAGCGATGCTTTAGGAGGGCATTATTTATTTGTCCTTAACAAAAAGAAACCCAACGCAATACATCGATAGTAATTCTTTAGTTTTCTAACAGATGACGTTGGTATTAACAGTCCAATTGATAAAATATCACACATATCATGTTGGTTTTAAAATATGTATAAAATAATATTTTGACGTGACAACGTCTTATAAATTGGTTTGCCGGGTGACACTTCAAGAAACTGCGTTACGCTCCGCTCACGTTATGCGCTCACAATGAGAGCGAGTGAGAGGCACGCGTCCCTTCCAATCGGGCGTGGTTAGCCCGCCTAAGAGCGAGAGAGACAGACATAGTCGTTGTCACGTAAAACTTTCGCCCGTATACCGACTTTACAGGCAACCAATTTTTTTATGATAGATGACACATCTAGATATCAATTGAAATTACCATGCCAAAGCCCAAACCTGAAAGTGTGACAGTTTCTCAGTAAAGTGTACCACCAAAACGCATAGATTGTGAGATAGTGTTAGCTCGCTTCACTCGCCTCACATGCAAAGTCATAAAGCGCGTGATTTCCCGGCTTCCCGTTACACACTTTTGAGTGCCTACTTTAAGTTTATTTCACATCAACTCGCTGTCAACGGCCAGTACGGTCGGCTTTGCAATTGGTGAAGATTTCAGTGCGGTGCAATCGTAGCGCTGAACGCGGCCACCGTGATGATCTGGTAGATGTAAAACAACTCACACTAGGCCCATTGGATACTAAATAATTCCTACAGATTGTAGGAAATTGAAAGCAAAGATATAAAATAGTATAAAACTGTTGACGTTATAACTTTAAGTAGTTTATTTCTTGTTTTAAACATATAAATATGTCTCAAAAATATAATTGGGACTTACAAACTTATTTTTTTTGTAAGTGAAATAAAAGCTTTAAAACAGAACATAAGGCATCAATCAAGGTGTAAAATAAAGATATCTCTAGCAAATCACTTCTTTGCAGAGTGCCAAGTTTGAAAATTCTACGTCGTACATTTAAACCACTTGTGATTTTTGTAGCAGTCAATTGTAGATGACCATTGGAGGTGGTAGTAGTAGATTCATCAGCCATCTCATAACTCTTGTACTTACTTATTTTTTCGTTTTCCTATTATCATGTGCATCATTAGCAATTATCATCTCATCATTAGCAAAAATCATTAGCAAAAGCAAAAACGCATTGAGAACTCTTTTATAGAATTAGAGCAGACCCTACCGAGTCCATTATTATCATAGGAAGGAGCCGTCCTAAGTCCTTGTCACCTTGAAATTCAGCCGACTTGAATGAGTCTTATTTAACTAGTATGATAATAATTATCATAGGAAGTAAAAGAAAAACACCGATTGGTAACTTAGATTTATTGTACATGGCAATGGTAGAAAATTTCCCCAGTAGTTTTTTTTCTAATGTCCGACGGGCGAGCGACGGGTTACGGTTGCTCTGACGTTTGATAACAATAAGTATTTAGCAATTTAATAATTTTGGGCGTATTTTGTTACTTTCACATGTGAATATAATTGCTCACTCGCATTTGGATTACAGTTCATATAAATATATTACAAATAGAAAGATTTGTGCATAACCTCTAGAACAGAACAATCTGTAATCTCTCTCGTAATGAAGCTAAAATTCTTTAGCTTGCGATAAATGAAAGTGTTGTTTACATTCTGTAAGTGTATGGTGTGCAAAATTGTGCCTGCATTGTGTACGGAATTATCAGTGACCGGGTAGTGCCATTAATATGTATAACCGAGCGGTATTGTGTATAAAATGTGTATAATATCGTGTAATCCAATTACAAAGTGTATTTGCTGTATTTGTGGGGGAATGTTGCCTTAGGAGTGCCATGTCCAGGCTCGTCGACTACTTCGTCATAGTGGGTTTCGACCACGAGAAGGAGAGTAAGTACTTGACTGTTTTTCAAGTTGATCACAGTATTATTTTAATTATTTTATGTGGCGCGAAAAATCTTACATTATATGATGAACAGGCTGGTTTACTGACTATAGCCTATAATCAGACGTCATAATAATATAGAGCTTAGGTAGCTTAAAGTGAGTTTTAAATAATTACTATTTTACCAATACATTATAATTACTATTTAATTAAAATGAATAGTTACCAAAATGAAATAACTTCGTCATTGTATAAGCATTAAATTTTTTATATTTTTTTTAACAAAAGTTTTATTTTTTTTTCGATGCTGTTAATTATTGTTCATTATTTAAATTAAAAATAAACTTTAAACTTTTATCCTATCTAATAGATCTGTTTTCTTTTCCAAACATGTTTTGAACCAATTTTTTCATGTCACATCTGTTCATTTCATTCCTTCATTCAAACCTTTTCAAGAAAAAAACATTTAGTTAATTTTCATTTTATTGCAAACAATTATAGTCCTAATAATAAGTTACCTGTAGTGTTCTAAAAATGTTATAAATATCAATAGTAAAAGTTACATTATACTTGCACTATATACCTACATATTTTAACCTTGTAATTGGTTTGTGTAATAAAGTGCTTCATAATATTGCATTGCCTTATTTTGTTGATATTAAAGTGAATTAACTAACTAACTTTTGATGTTTAGGAAGTTCTGATTACAAATTACAAAAATAAAAATACATTTTAATAAAGCTAAAATAATTAAAATTGATTAGCATCTCATGTTATGCTAAACTTAAAACAATTTATAAATTGTAATAAGTGAAGGACTGTGAGTAAAGTGCAAATATTCTGCATTTCATTATAAAATAATACACATAGCCCATACTAAGTGTGACGAATTTAGAATATGGAGTGTCACCAACCCTATTCACCCCTTGGGGGCCATAAGAGCCGACTAAAGGACCCATCTATGCAGGATAACAGCACTGCAATCAGAAGGAAAACTTGAAACAAACCCATTACCAACCAGTCTGGTCAGCATGCTATAGTAGGCCAAAACCTCTTTTCTAAGGAGGTCCATGTCCAGCAGTGGACTATTAAAGGCTGTTGATGTGATGTGTGTGATGTGTACTAAGTGTATTATGTTAGTGCGGAATCTATAGACCCATAAGTCTAAGATTGACTGACTGATATGTGGTACGAAATGGTTTCTCCTTAAACCTAGGTACTTGGAAACTGAACCTTTGGAAGCTGGCTATTGTGAAAAAGGTTAAATGATTTTTCTTAAATCTTGATTAGCAGATTTGATGTTGGCTTAGAATAGATTTGGTACATTGATGGAAACATAAACTTAATATCTGTCTGAGTGTGCTGTGTTTTCCATGACCTTTTCGTGTAAGTTTTGGTATGAAAAAAAGCTCTTTACTTGTACACCATTTTACAAAAGTTGGGTATATAAAAAAGACAGATATAAAATGTACAAAGGGTGGCCTTATTGCTCAGAGGAATCTCTTCCAGGCGACCTTAAGATGGATTAAAATGTTTCAGAGAGACAGTAGTAGTTGACCATGCAATGAGTTTTTAAGGTTAATTGCTAATAAATAGAAAAGAGATAATAATTAGGTTTATACACATACATAAATATATAGATAAAAACAAATACTTAAATATGCCAACATGTATATATATACAACTACTAATATATAACTACTCAAGTAATGTTTGAAGTATAAATTATAAGATTACTTTGGAAGCATTATCATTGTTCTAAAATATATATCTTTAACCTGACAATACTCTCTCTGTTTATGAGGTTTTGAAAGTGGTTTTGACTATTTAGTATCCTTAAACTAATAATAATATGTATAACATTATAATGATTTAAACTAATCTAAATCTCAATTAGAAATTATTCTCATTGTATTAAAACTTCCAATAACTTAATACATAAACATCTGAATACATAATTTCTAAAAAGAATATAACATAGCAGATAAAACTCAGATATACAGATATACTTTATAGATCTCAATTTCTATCTATATATTAAATGATTTGAGAGTTTAGTACTATTACTAAACCCTCATACCATTTAATAAATGTATAACATGTGAGTCATCAAGTTCATCTACAGTGTTAGTTATCTGTGGCTCTATGTTATAGCTTCTCCGCACTGCATGCCAATGCTGTGTTCTACATAGATTAGTTCATAGTTCCTTATTAATGAACTGAACTGCATTACCATATTTTTATAGTTTAAAATTAGAATATGAATTCTAGTAGCCTAGTTTGTGAACTAATAATTTATTACATATTGCTAAACATATAGATTTTAAATACAAATATTTGATTATATTGGTTTCATTGGGGGAGGTCTAGGACCAGTAGTGCATGTCTTTCATCTGAGATGATGATGTGTTTTTAAATTATTAAAAAAAGAAAGAATGATTGATACATTGCTTTAATAAAATGAAAACTTTGAAATGTAACATTATGTCTTCTTATAAATTTTTGCATGACATGCTCTTGTGTATTGTATTGTTCATGGTCATATGACTATATATAAATAACATTAAAGTTAGCATTGAAAAAACAAACTTTTTTGGTTGGTGGTATTTTTGTAAGGAAGTAGAAATTATTACTAAAAGTATGAATCTTAATATTAACCAGACAAACAAGCTATTAAGCTAAATAAATATAGAATAAAGTGAAACACACTTAAAAATAATTTTCATCTTACAAATATTGATGACAAAAATTAAAATATCGTTTCCAGTGAGGCACACTAAAATCTTACATCTTTGTGGTGTGATGTTCACTCCGTCTACGCTCGAAGTTAGTGTAGGTAACCGTCAAAAACATTATTATTTTGATACCGCTTTTATGTGTGCTCACAAATAAAATATGTTGTGTATTAGTATTATGTTCTCATGTTAAGTGAATTGTATCATAATTCTTAATGAGAATAAATAATTTTAAACCAAAAAAGAGTTCAAGTAAATATTTTATATCTTTGATAGCTAGAATATTTAACAGTACCTAATAGCTGAATAATTGCACTTGAACATGGTACTAAAACATACAGAAGTAATCTTTTATATAGTATATACTTGTAACATTGTTCATCATCATCATCTCAGGCAAAAGACATGTAGTGCTAACTTTTTTTTTTTTTTTTTTTTTTAATGTGTGGAAATCCCCTCGGACCGTCACCCCACCGGGGTTTGCGGCGGGGTGGTGTGTCGCACTCGAACCGACTAAAACCACACGGTGTGCCCTCTTTGCGCTTCCAGTTTAGGAGGGGTCCAGGTAGTTATCGCCTTCTGGACCCCTCCTAGCGCCGGCCCGCTCCTATTGCGGGCCCCGTCTCAAAATTTTTTTTCCTCTCTTTAGGCGACGTCCGGCACACGCGGACGCCGCCCCATCGCGGCTGGCCAAACTAATGCGGGTGGAGGGGAAACCCACCCCGTCCACCCGCGGCCACACTCAGGGCGGCATGAGGCGCAGGTAAGCGCGCCTCCGCCGCCCGGTTCGCCGGCGGCGGATCAGGTCCGAGTGGAGGTCGTCCTCCCGGGTCTTCTCCGCCGCCTCCTTCTGCGAGATTACCTCCTCGCAGAAGGTTGCGACCGCGGTAAAACAACTGTCGCTACCGGCCATGGAGCGAATTACGGCCGGTAGCGAGAGATCTGCTCCGATGACTGCAGTGAGGGCCCGGCGCTGCGTCGCCCATGCGGCGCAGACCGCCAGCGTGTGCTGGGCCGAGTCCTCACTGCAGTCGCAGTGGTGGCAGGCGGGACTCAGTTCCCTCCTAGCGACCGAGTGCAGGTACTTTCCGAAGCAACCGTGCCCGGAAAGCACCTGCGTCAGCCGGAAGGAAAGGGTCCCGTGCTGCCGCCCTGCCCACTCGGATGTACTGCTACCTACCCCAAGGTTTACCACAACAATCACAACTTCCCCTTTTTTCAATTTTGTTTTGTCAAAACAGAAAAGACATTTACCACTATAACCGGACCACATTTTCGTAGAGCAAGGCGGGCTCTGAGAATTGATACCTAATTCATTTGGCCTTGGAATGTTATACATTTAATAGTTAGAAAATGATCTCATTGTATCGATTTATTTATACCGTTGACGTGCATTTTTCCAATTAGGCAAATTGAATTGACCATGTATATTTTGAACTACAAGATAGACGTATTTAATCTCGTAAAAACTTCGAGCTATTTTATTTACGTTACATTCAAAGTATCTTTCGACCTTTCATGAATTTACTTCGGCTTTAGACAAAAATTAAGTATTTTAAGTTTCGTAAATTTACTTTCCTTCTTCTTATATTTAAATTTCTGGGACTTGAAGTTCTTATCGGACTATTCTGTTAGTTAATTTCCAGTAGCATTACAGAATATTTACACGTGCCTATTAGATGGCAATATGAGTTTAAATTATATGTACACACAGTGAAATTCTGCTAATATAACGACTTAACGAAGATTTTTAAAGTCTAAATGTAAACAAGTTATGTTTCGAAGTTAGGTGCTAGGCAATATAATCCGTTTATTAATATTCCTGTTAAAGCCGACGAACTGCTTATAACAAGCGAATTTGAAATAATGAGTCAGAGGGCCTAGTGCAATTTTTTCACATCAACTCGCTCTCACAGCGAGCGCGTTCGTCGTTGCCATTGGTGCAGATTTCATTGCTGACCAATCGCAGCGCCGAACGTGCTCAGCGTGACGATAGATGTGTAATAAACTCACACTTGGGCCTCCGGTTAAAACGGCGTAAAGTAATTCATGTGTGTTTACTGACGTTGTAACTCTGGTAAACCTGGTTGGTTTTAACAAGTGTTTTGTTTTTAGTAAATCTAACTATGAATAGAACTAGTATTCCTAATAAGAAAAGAAGAAGTGCAACAAAGGTTCGCCGGTACCATGGGTTTCGTTATATCACCATTCTACTGGTATATCATGATTCTACGTTATATCATGATTCTACGTATACCTAACTAGCTTTT